CGATATAAATTAATAATTATACCTACAGTTGTACACGCTTCAAAGCACCTTAACTGCTCAAGGTCATTGGCAGTGGTGAGTTTTCTTAAAATATATTTTGAGCAGTACTTATTGACTGTAAAATAACCATGTTATATTAATGTATTATGTTGAGAAAACTGTTAGTATTTTATCAATAACAAAATATTGCATTACAACTAGTGTACTATAAAAATATGTCTCAGAAAAAAATCAAACTTACCTTCAAAAAATTCACCCAAATGCTAAGACTAAATAATTAATTTAATTTAAATTCCTTAAAATGTTCAATGTTTGCATTGATATATTAAAGCAATTATTTATAAACCAGAAAACTGGTAGTCAGTGTCATAGTGGTGTACCATAATAGCCTAACCATAACGCCGTATTATCATAGTTTAATCATTGAGTAAAAATCTTTCATGCAGACTTCTATACTAAAGCCGCTGTCTTACGATAATAGTAAAACGCGATAGTTGCTTCAGTAACTACAGCTTACAGTCACCGTGCGAACTCCGCGATAGTTACTATCACACTACATGCATGTATGGTATTTCACGACAGCATCACTATCGCTTTTTTCTAGCATCGTGTGACCAAGTATTGTATGGAAGTCTGTATATTTTTGACAATGTACGAAGATAATGGATCATGCGATATGTGCCTAGATTACATTACCTATTTGAAACGTACAAATATTAAAATATCAAATATGCGGTGCGCATTTAAATACCTTATTACAAATAGGGTTAAGAATTGAATGATATGCTATTCAAATAAAATATGAATTTTTAATTTCATAAATAATAATCAAACGGTCAACATTTTCAGATCAAAAAAAAAAAAATGCATAACATTATAAAATATTTGTATTCAAATGTATAATGTATCAATCATTTTTATTAATACTATAATATTATTACTAGTATATGATAAGCATAATATTACGTATATTTTATTTATTGCTCGGTGTGTCAGTACTCATTACTAAATTATATCTTAACACTTATAATTACATAGGTACAATTTTTGTCAATTTAAAATGCAGTCTGTATCGTTTGTATCTGAGTACCTAAGTAACAGGGGTGTGCACAGAAAATCAACTCAGTGGGTGCAAAATTAAATGTGATACATACATGGGGAGTCACATATTTACATTATTACACACTGAGTTTTTGGTTCATTAAAAAAATCCCAGTGGGTACCTACCCACTGGCCCCTCTCTGCGGGCGCCCCTACTAGGTAAGTATAAGTAATAATGAATACATTTAGATACCTATTACTTGTCTTCTTCGACGAAAATACCTGAAACATCATAGTATCATACAGGCGTACCTAATAAATAATAACACCTACCTACCCACCAACTACATTACACTTTTGAGTTGACGGTCATTCAATGAAATATATTTAGTATAAGAATAGGAGATAGTTTCAATTAAAAAATATCAAATTATAAATGTTTGAATGTCTTAGTAGAGATTACCAGTATACACTATACACCCAATGTATAGGTAATCATATTGTGCAATGTGCATATTTAATGAATTGATATTTTATTATTATTATTATTATCCTAAAATAATTTGAAACTACGTTCTTAACATTTTAATTTGACTTCGACAAACTTAAATCTTTGTATACCTATTCATTCATCGTTACGTTATTCGTACATAAGGAGCAGGTACATATTATATGCGATATCTATTGATGTTTATATGTTGAGATTTGGCAGGCTTATATTGTATAATTTAATTGCAACTATTTTGATTACATTAATATTTGTTTACTAAACTCAGACTTGGAAATAAATTTGATTACCTATTTATTTTTCGCCTTGCGATAACGAATTTAACAGCGCTTAGTAACTGCTGTTTTACGTTAACCACATAATATTAAATTATTCATCATTAAGAGGGAAGTCAGTATCAGCCATTAGAGTATACCACTTACCAGTTGTGTAATTATGAACATTTGGTCGATGCTAGTTCAACATTATTAATTCTTGAAATTTAAACTTCTACAATGGCCATAATACATAGGTGAGTTGATACCTACTTTAATGGATGTGTGACACCAAAACACCATTACAAAAACCATAAACAAACTTAGTAGGTACTTTAGCAGTTACTAGTTAATACATAAGTACCTACCTACAGCATAATAATGGTTATACTGCCTTACTGGACACATTACAGTCATCAGTACCTATGCATACACACGACACACCCATGTTATAACTATAGAAGAAACACACGGCACGCATGTCAAGCTCACTAGTTATGTGTCAACAAACTCTGAATGACTATGATCCGAAAGTCTTTCGAAATTGAATTTTACCCATCGGTGGGACCACGGGACATGCTGGGTATGCAACTGCACGCCCCAATGTTCGATAAAAAAAAAGTATACCTACTTTAAATTAGAGTTTAAATAAAACGTCATTCCGTTAAATCCGGATTGAGTCCGGTTCCATCTAGTTCAGATTAGGGAGACTACTGTACCTGTATTTATTTTATTCCTAAGTGGATTTTACACTATTTTTTTGTTTGTTTTTTAGACATAATATTTATCTTTTTATAGTTGTATTGTGCATTAAATTGGCAGCCCTAGTTATTAGATATAAATAAATTATATCTCTTACTTGAAAAATTAAGCTTAAGTAATTCAAATTTGAAGTGTCTTGACTCTTGAACTTTTCCTATTGTAATTCTAATGAATAGTAGTGGAGATAGATTTATTTTGTATAATACTATTAAGTTGAAAGTGAGTAAATACAAATATATATTGTAGGTCTAGGTATGGACATATTATGGTGGTGCGCGGGAAGCCCCAAACAAGCTTTTGATCTTATTTAAGATTCTGCATACTTTGAACACAATATGGGTATAGGGTATTGGGTAGGTATTTAAAAATTATAGCTAATGTAAAAATATAGAAATTGTATTTGAAGAACAGTATAATTTATGATTTACAACCTAACAATAAAATATTAAATTATATAAAATAAAAAATTTTTATTTTATTAAGTATAGATAAGTACATGAAAAACTTTTAAGGGTATTTAAAATACAACATTAAATATTTTTGCGAAATTATATTCTAAAGTATTAAGGTTATTCCAAATACTTAAAAAGGTATTCAAATATTTTATTCGGAATACTACCCCTAAGTCTGTCGCTGGCTCCGCATATGATAGTATATAATATATTATTTTATTTATTTATGCACAATTAATAAAAGTAAATGTCTCAACTATGACATATCATTTTACACATCAATTTAGGAATTTTTATTGGTAGTTCAGTCATACATTTTTAAAAATTATAAAAACATACGTATAACAATTTTCTTGGTTGGTAATGATTATTGGTTCATCATTGATTTCAAATTCAAAACAATAATCGATCAATACATTTTATAATACTGATTTGGTACCCAATTCTTTTGTAATAATTGTATAAAACATTTATCCACAATTTGCAAAATCACTTGTACCTTGTCATAAATCAATGTACATTTTTTTTTCCTGAAAATATTGGTTTTTTTTTATTTAAAATAAACATATTATTATCTTCATAATTAATATTATGAGAATAAATAAATTGGAATATTAATTTGATAAATAAATAGTGATGAATGAACTGAATTGGTTGGGTAATTGATTATTAGTACTATGACTATTGTTGTTTTTTGGTAACTAATAATAGTAATAAATAATAAAAACAAGTAACATAAGTAAAATTTTAAAGTATCACCTAGTTTAATATATATTAATATAATTCATTCTAAGAAATAAATAGAATTATACAACTTTTGAAGTATGGATTACAAAATGGATTACTTTGTACAAAAATGGTATAAAATAATTATAAACAAATACTTATCCAACACATTTAGTACATGGACTATGGTCTATGGGCATAACATAACAACTAATAAACATTATTAAAATTAACTATTTCTTTATTTCAATAATAGAATATAGAAATAAAAATTAAAATATTACTAAGTATGTTAAACCACGTATAACAATAATTTGCTTCACAGTTCTGTCAATGTCAATATTTAAATTAAAAACAATTTTAAAATTGTAGCTTATTAGATCAGTAAAATTTAAAAACAAGCAAATAACATGACCAAATAATAAATTAATTTTCTATAAATTTAGGATTCAAAAGCATAAACTAAACCTGCAATAATGCTAAATGCATCATTTATATCTCAGTATATTTTATAAGGGTATCTTATAATAATGAGATATTGAGATGGATACAATTATGCTTGCTAAATATTTAAATAAGTTTTTAAAAAAATATGATACATTATGAGATCATTTTTTCACAATTATTCAAATTGTAATAAATATATTGTTTGTCTTTAAATATAAAATAAGTTAGTTTTCAAATTGTTATATTCAAATACTATGGTAATTGTATGGTATGCTTAAGATAACATAGCTGAAAAAAAATAAATAATTTTTCTGATACAATCTTGAAAGTCTAATAATATGATAGTAATATTGGACATCAGAATTGGTACAGGGGCAGTCAAATGATTTTGTCAGGGGAAGGAGGATATAGCTGATTTTTTAACATGCACTATTTTATCTTTAAAAATGAAATTTATGGATATCAGCTCTTATACATTGAAAAAAATGTCTTGGTGGGGATCTATCATACCCCCTCTCCCACATCACACCATTTGAACGCCACTAAATTGATATAAAATGAGATGCATTGACAACAATTTTAATTAACTTAAATATATCTATAAATTAAAATTAATTTGAGAAAGAGACAAATAGTATAAGCTATAAAGTTAATAAGAAGGAATTATGTAATGTGTTTGTTGATTCATAACCAAATATTTTTTAAAACTGTGGCCTATAAAATGTAGCTTGGCAGTGTACTTTTCAATAACTACATTGGTGTAGAGTGGCATAAAATTGGTATCACATGAAACCTTTTACTTGCGATTCGCGAGGACTTCAAACAAATAATAAAACAATTGTGCAATAATCTCATTGACACCTAAATATACAACATTATAATATTTTATTTATAAGGTTATATAAAAACTAAAATTATAATTATTTATATATTTTGTACTTTGTCTAAAACACATAGTGCATTGGTGAACCATTCTCTGACTGCGATTTAGTATTCATTTTATTAAAATCATTTCGCATAAGAAGATTGTAAGATGAAAACTTGACATTTTCTTCCCAGAAAAATGGAAAGTAAAATGTTCTGTATAAAAGTGGTGTTCTGCAATGTAATATCAAAACAATTGTAAACAAATTTATTTTTATAGAAGGCTGAGTGTTTTATTATATAAATCTTTGATGTGTATAGCAACATTACTAGTTTAAAAATATAACTACAAATTCTTACTTTTTGGTATCTAGAAATGGTATAGATTTCCAAATAATCCATTGCAAATTATTTTCAGAATAATTTGGTTCCAATCCTGAACTTTGATTGTTGTTCAGGTCTACTAAGAAATGACACAGTCTAATATCACTCTGAAATTAATGTAACATCAGAAAAAAATCATTTAAACATACTCCATTCATTTATGTGTCTTAAATTACATAAGAACAAATTTAATATGTTTCAGCAAAATGTATTATACTTACATATTTATCTAACTCTTCTTTATTTTGATCATTATAGTTTTCAACAACTTTGTATAAAGATTCCTGACTAAAACGACCAGGTAAAAGTCCTCGGAATTCTGATCTAATAAAATGCATTTTCCATCTGTAATAAAAAGTATTATAATAGACTGTTTCCACATAATATAAAATAAATGAGAATTAAAAAAAAAATAGTTACCTATCATTTGGTAAAAAAAATGATGAAGGATATCTATGCCATTCTTTGCCAACACAAACATTTATTACATCTGATTCAGGCAATGTAAGATAATCATTACTCAATTGTGTGTAAGTATCAATAGGTGCGTGATACGCTAAACATAATAATATAAAAAACAAAAATGTTCTTCATTATACATAAACAAAATGTTTCAGTACAGTGGTACATCCATGATTTAGCTTTATGTGTGTGTGTGTGTGTGTGTGTGTGAGGGGGAAATAATTAGTCGTATAAATTATAATAGACTCATAGAAGCACGGGGCATGTGGGTACGCAAGTGGATGCGCAAAACCAGGCCGAATTCGGCTGTGGCGCATTCACTTGCTGGACAGAGTATACATCAATACATAATAATTTCCTGCTGAAAATCAATTTTTAATTTTATAGATGTAGAAAACTGAATCCTTCTCAAATTCTCCTAACTACAAAACTGTTACACTATGATTATTTATAATAAAAACAAACCTTTAACTAAGAGAGTGCTTCGTGACAATCCCATTAATAAAAATACAAAAAGAAAAGGTATGTAAACATTATCAATCAATTTGTTGTACAGCTTAAGAAAAGTAAAACGATGAATAACACTTGAATGAAAATTCATATCTTTGATATATTCCAATAATATAGATGATGCCAGTTGTATCAATGGATAAACAGGAAACAAAAATCTTTCTTCCTAAGCAAACAAAAAAACAAAAACATACTATTAATCATTATTAAATTATAACTAATAAGCTTTAAAATATATATTTATTTTCTTATATGGTATGACCTATTACATAAACTATTAATTATATCAAACATCTAAATATTGATAGAGTTATTAAAAATATACTTTACCTTATGTGGTTGTATTATAAATACAAAAATCCATAAATACAATGGAGATAAATATAATATCCATATTGATTTGTTGTTAATATTGCTTTGTTTAGAAAATCTGATTCCGATTTTTGTAAGAATCTAATAAAACAATTCAATCAATTTAATTTATTCAATAATACAATTTTATTTATAATAATGACTGAAAAAATTAAAAATCTAACAAAAAATATTTTTATTTACTAGAAAAATAATATGATTTATAAGAATATACTATTATTACTGAAATACTACATATTACAAAAATTATTTCATAACAGTTAAATTATTTAATGATACAAATGCATTAGAAACATATAAGTTAAAAAGTTTAATTCTATATATCAGGGATTCTCAAACTTTTATAAACACTTTTGTACCCTTTTTTATCAATAAATTTTGTTGAGTAACCCCTTCTTAGTTACTAAACTAAAATACATATAAAAAATATTTAAAGACTTTTAAAGAATTTTTTCCTTGTTGGTTTGTTGGCCAGACTCGTATCCCCAAGGGGTATGCGTACCACAGTTTGAGATCCCTGCTATATATAAATGACTAGATACCTCAATATTTATGATAGAAATAATATATTTCATTAATAACTATAGACAAATGTTAAGTTAGGTAACATTTAATAACTATTTATCAAGTAAGAAATTATTGTATTTTTAAAATGAATAAACATACCTTTTTCAATAAAATAGCAATAGGAGCCATCAACGAAAGTATAAATACAACATTGAAATTAAGGATACCATTTAGTATATAAAAAGTCCAATGTTCAGTACCATATAAATCAGGACCATGACTCGTGAATAAATTGTAAAAAACAATATTAAAAGGGGCAATTACAAGCTTGCCATAAAAATATGAATCAGTAGCAACTTGATAAACCTATAAAGCACATTAATACTTATAAATGATAAATCGATGAAAAAATTATTTATTTGCACTTACTAAAATTGACCCTAATGATATTAAGCACCATTTAATAAATAACAAATACTTTTTGTTTCTGAAAGTGATATCACACGCAAGTGGTAATCTAAAATTGAAAAACAAATAAAATAATTTACTATTGGTTACATAAGATATTTTTTCTGGAGTAACAATCAAGCATATTCATTTTTAAACATTTTTTTTTTTGTCAGCATCATCATTAATATAATATAGTATGAACTGAACTACTAATCTACTAAATTATTACTTGATGAACAGATGGATGATATAAAAGTTAATAATTTAAATATAGGTTACTAACCCGATTAGACATGAAAATGGCCAACTTAAAAATGTCGACAGTGCAGTTGTAAAAATTGCCAATTCGTAATTTTTGTTTAACCAAGCTCCAATAATTAAGAAAGTCATGTACCTAAAAAAGTGAATTTTTTAATCAATTTCTATAGATATTTCAAAATATTTAAATTTCATTCTTACATAGAAAAACTTGAAGGCAAATATGCAGTAGATGCAATGAACATTCCAGGACTAAAAACTGTTATGAACAAGTAATAATTGCTAACAGTGGATGAAATTTTTTTTGATATAGCTCTGAAAAAATTAATAAGAAAAAATCATTATTAAATTAACTAAATTCAATCAGCGGCATACTCAGAACAAAGGATGGGATTGTGACGTAAAATCACCCACACTATTGTTTTTATTTTCTTAATTTAGTAGAAACAAGGTGTATACGTAAATACACTATAAGCTAATATCCTTTTTAAAAAGCTGAGCATACCACTCCATTCTCTTATGCTAGTAAAATTTACTTGTAAAAGTATAGTTCACAAAGAGAACTCAATAGTGCAAGCACACAGCGTATTAAGTAAAACAACATGATTTTTCTAGTATTGAATAGAGCTTTGTAAAGGTACACGGGGACTGCATGAATAAGTATGTATAAATATGATCGAAGTGCATAAGGAGGCGCGTATTCCCAGGTTTGAAAACCGCTATTGAAAACAAAATAATGAGTCTAAAACAGAGAATTGATAATTAGTAAATTAATATATTTGAGACAAAAAAAAACAAAATATTTTAACTACAAAATAATTATATTGGATTTACCGGTTCCCAGTAGTTAAACGTTTCATCACAGTCTGAAATGTGAACGAGAAACGCAGCAAAAAACCTTGCTGTCAAGATAATTTTCAAAGGTGCATCAAATCGCATAAACCAATCTTTTTCGTGAACAACTGTATCGGTTTTGCTAGATAAAATACATGGGCTTATTTAAATTTAACCAAAGTAATATTTTGAAAATGTATAAATTTAACAAGGTTTATAATTATTAATTACTCGTTTTTTTTCAATTTGTGTTTCTTAGTTTCTTTTTTGACTTTTTGAGTAAGCTTTGAGGCCATAGTTGAAACGGGAATAGTTACAAATTATATCAATGAAAAATCATAATTTCACTACGTCGCTGTTTAAAGACTGTCAACGTATACAGTTCAATATTCGGTACTCGAATATTAAATTGCATTATCTTAAATGTTTACTAAAAAGTCTACATAATATTATTATCTACAATATAAATTGATTGTAATAACTTGTATCATTTATCAATCATAAGTATAACGAATAATGAGTAGAATTACGCTTTACGCATAGATAATCGCTTAGATAATCGCATTATACATCATCAAAACATGAAATATGAATAATGAATACTTGAATTTATTCTGTGAATGCACGATGAAGTTTGAATTTCGATTTCGATATCATTATTCATTATAATATTATGATTATCATGAACCACGGGTCCACGGCTATAGATACTATGGTTGCACGACGATGAAAATTTTTTGACCGTGCAATGTTCTTATCAAAAACCTCGTGACTGCTAGCGCTTTCAGCGGAACTTGTAGTCTACCTAATCAATCAACTCGGTTCACCTCACGGCTATAGATATCTATAGCCGTGAGGTGAACCGAGTTGATTGATTAGGTAGACTACAAGTTCCGCTGAAAGCGCTAGCAGTCACGAGGTTTTTGATAAGAACATTGCACGGTCAAAAAATTTTCATCGTCGTGCAACCATAGTATCTATAGCCGTGATTCATATCTATAGCCGTGTCATGAACCAAGATAATTATAAGATTATCTTAGTTCACTGCAAGATTTTTCTCAAGTCGTGGTTTATGATTGTGGCCCGCGAGAAAGACAACTAGCGCCCAAGCGGAAACGGATGTAGTTAAGCAGTGTATACTTATTTCCATATGTATAATATATATATTATTATTAAATTATGTTCACTAAGAGCGCTAGCTGTACTTCTTCCTATGGTGAACAGCTAATTTTTGAGGATAATCTGCGGCGAGCATCACTCTGGAGACCACTGCTTCAAATAGCCGTGCTGTAGACCAATTTATAATATCTCAAATCGTGTATACCCATTTAGCGCCAAACTCAGTTTCAAATTATAACACAGAGGAAACAATCATGTGCATTTGTTATTTTAATATAAGCTTGTTCATATTATTGTTTTAGAATGTCCAAAAATGACACATGCTTTTTGTAACTTTTTACAGTAGAATTATATTGTTTAGAAATAGTTTATCATTTCATTGTTCTGATATATATTATTATCATATAATTTTTTTTTTGATTTACTGTTTTTTTTTCTGTTAGAAGATATTTTCATTAGAATAAGTGATTTATGAGACATATAATAAATATACTCAATTAAGTTAATATATTTTAATCATCATTCAATTTCCATCAAAATAGTAAAAAATCACTGATATTGCAAGATGCTTAACATAATAATTATATTTGTTTTTGATTAAAGAGAAAGATTAACTTGATATTTTTTTTTTTTTTATAGTCTATATATTTTTTGTATACACAAATAATTTATATTATAATAAGCAATAATAACTAATATCTTATTTTTGTTCGTACGGCTCCAAATTACATAATGACAATAATGTTCCAATAACAGTGCATAATGTGGCTCAAAACTGTTGTGGTGTAATTACTAAATTTATTTTAATTTAAAAATGAATTAATCATTTTAATATAGTATATACCTACATTATTTTGTTTGAAAATAACGTTTATTTTATTCTATCAGTCAAATCTTCTACTCGTGTTTCCGGTTAAACGATTCCGCATTTCCGCAGTGTTGTCATCACTCATCGTGACCGTTTTGTTTTTTATAAGATATAAAAATTGCAATAGAGATTACACTATGCGATTACAAAATGTATAACAGATTGAACAAACAAATATTGTGTCATATTATAATTTTGCACGTTCAGATGTTCAGAACATATAATATTTATTACCTACCTAATTACAGTACCTACCTAAGTACAGTACCTATATATTGTAGTTGTAAAGTGATATTTTTAAATTTGGTTTTATTATTACCTCGTTAAACGGCCGTGTTGTCGGCTCATAATATTTACCTATAGTATGCACATAATAGTCATAGGTACCATGATGGCATATGTATCTTGAACACCATAAATATATTAAAATTTCCTATTAGCTATAGAGGTTAATTATTAACTATTAAGCTGCCCCCTCCCCTCTCTAACTGTGTGCTGTGAAAAAATCTTATTTAAAATTAAGAATAAAACACATTTTCTTTGGCCTTTTTTGATTGCAATAGTAATTTTTTCTAGCAACATCGGTCTTCTCAAATCTCACGATAATGATTATTGGGATAAGCCATTTTACCACTGGAAAAAGCGTATAAAATTGTATGTGATTATATAACTTATTTCACCAAAAAAGTTAGATTGGCCCTTTTCTACCCGAACCCCAGAAATTATTAAACTACCTACGTAAAAATGTTATATATTTTAACAACAAAATAATTTCGTGATTTTAACAAATTTTGTCAAACATTGAACATTGGAACTTTAAACGCTTATAAAAATAATTTGTGGAATGTGGATTTACGCAAGTTACGCGCTCATATATATATTTTTTAATTCCAATAGTAAAAACTTAAGAGGAATTTTGTTTTAAATTTTCAAGCTTTTTGACGGAGGTACGTATCGACACCTGTACAAAAATCTCAAATACAGAGTCAAACTCAAACTTTTTTGAAAATTATACTTAAACTATAAACTATATATATGTATTATATGAAATACTATCATAAAATTTGGTTAAAATTTAAAGCATCTAATTATTTGTTTTAAGTTTTTAAATTATAACAAAATAAAAAAATTTATTTTGTCATAAATCATGTATTTTCCTATTTAGTTCATAAGCGGTATGTGGAATTTAGGTATTGATTTTACAATGAAGTGTTTTTTAAATTTTTTTTTAGTGTCTTAAGATAAGCAGATAGATAGTCGAAAAAATGCTACAATTTTCATCTGATATGTTTTTTGGTTTAACTCGAAAAAAATAACCATAGATACATGATTTTGACATTTTGTGGGAACAAATCTAGTTTAGCGTCAACGAGAAATTTTCACGGAAACATATGTATTTCATTGAGTTTAGAACGATGGTGCAAAAATTAGATGGCGGGAACCATTATTTTTTAAGTAATAGTCTTACGAAGTTCATAATTTTCAGTGTTTCTTGCATGCGCTTAACTCTATTATTACAAATTTTTCAATTATTTTCTTTTGAAACTATGTGAATGAATTTGTTAAAAACGACGGTACGAAAATAAACTATTGGCAATCAATAGTGTTTAGGAATTATAGGTCATAAGGTAAAAAAAATTTCATTATTCGTAGGTATATAGGTAATATAGTATTGTAGTGGCTCCCTTCACCAAACTACTCCGGTGCCAACTTTAGTTGGATGGGGACTCAGCCCGACAGCCCCCAACCCCCCGGGGCTAAAATAGCCAACCTAGGGGAGGGGGAAGAGTGCGACCCCTTTGGGGTCCCGGGAAGAAGAGCATACCTGTCCTTCGGGCAGTTGGATAACCTAGCACGTAAACTTAACCTTGTCCATTTAAGTAACACAAATATTATAGTGGAACAAGGGACCTCCCTTCGCCTACCAGCAAACTCTAGGTCATTCGAGTCATAGTACAAGAAATAAGCAGTATGATTAACACGTACCATAGGGTACGGCTATAAAAGAAACCCAAGAATAAATGTACATGCGTGCCATCGCCTTGTGTTCATTATTGGTTGCCTGTATAAATTATGCATTGCCTCTTATAAAAATATGCGCAGCCTTACCATTGAGCATATATAAAAAACAACACTACAATATTCATATAATACAATATTCCTTATACTAGAGTACTCCGCGCAAGAGTTTAAACATAAAATCACAAACATTGGAAGGCTATAACTTCCAAAATAATGGTATCCGCCAATGAATTTTTAGTACCTAGTTCTTAACTCGTCGTAAAACATTGCTTTCGAAAAAAAAATTGAAAAATTGATGTGGGAGCTAAACTAGATCTAAGATATTTTGTGCACCAAATTTTTATAACATTTTCTATAGACCGTAAAATATTTCAAAATATTTTGACTCTTTTTGAGCTATTTATAGGCATAAGAAATTTCCAATATTTAACAGTTTTTTAAAATTGTTGTTGATAAAAAATTTTTCTTAGTCAAAAAACTTAAAAATCCAATACAATATTCCTCTCAGTTGTTATAAGTGTAATTTTAAAATTAAATTAGATCACAGAGACCCATACGACACACATTAGTAGAGTGGTACCAACTAGTCCATCTCTTTTTCTTTTGATACATAAATGTAGTGTCTATTTAAATAATATTAAATATTTGATTATCTATTCATATTTTATTAATTGTTTTTCAAAATGGAAACATTTAGAGGCAATGATTTTAAAATGAAATCAAATAACCTAGAAAGCAGTAACTAGATATTATTGTGTTAAAAAATTTAAAAAAACTAAATACATAAATCAAAATAATTTTATTAACACACACTTTTATACTATAATTCATGATGTTGCATTAAATTAATAAATATAAATAAGGTAGAAATAATATAATTATAACTATAAAGGTAACATAATATTATAAAACTAAAATAACTATTAAATAGATAAATTTCCATAAATATTAAAAACTGTATACAAAATGACAATTCAAGTATGTTGAATTACTCTAACAGGACATGATTCAATCTTGTTGACAACTTTTATAACAGAAGCACGGATTACATGCTCATTTATATTAATGTTCTCAGATTCCAAATGAGTGTTTCTTACATGACGGTCCAAATTATCTTTACGTGTGAACTTCTTCATACATATTGGACAGTTCAAAATATTTTTTTCTACAAAATTCCACATAACCATTATTTTAACAATAATAATTAATATTTATTATTATATATGGTGCATGTTTATTACTACTATGAGTTCCAAGATGTCTTTGTAAATAACGCTTTTCTCTAAATCGTTGATTACATAAATAACAAGCTAGTTGAGTTGAAAATATATGTGTCTTTTGATGTGAAACCAATGCATCTTTCAAACTAAATTTTCGTTTGCAGATGTCACATGAAAATGCTTTAGTTCCTGCAATATAAAGTATAACTAATTTAATACATCTGTTATTTTGTATAATTTATTAATACATTTTTCAAGGCCAAATTAAATAAAATGAAAGAACCAAGCATTAATTTAGTTTATTTTAAGGGTGTCGGAGCCCTTCAATAGTATAAAAACATGTCCTACAGAAAAAACTCATAAAAAATCTTATAGAATAGTAGGATTTTTATTATTTTTTTACACATTTCGCACTTGGGATCAAAGCCCGATTTTCAAAATTAAAACTATAGAAGCTAAAATATGCATTCGAATAATGCACAGTATTTGTTCTTTTTCAAACAAATTGTTTAGCACTATTCAAAATAAAATGAAAATTAGGGCTGGAAAAAGTTCTCTTTTTTTTAATAAAAAAAAATTTTAAAAATCAAAGTATTCTACATGGCGTTAAGAGTTTTTTTCTGCGAAGTAATTTTTGTTGATAAAATACACCGTATGAACGCTCCCCCTTATAGGTATCGGGCAGTAGTTTAGTGGAAAAGTATTATAATTAAAGTAATAACTAAAGTACAAATTATGATTTCCAAATTTTATATAATAAGGAAAATTTTAAAAACCGGCCATGACACCTTTAACATAAAAGTGTTAACAGCTGTATACTAATAATATTTAGTATAAATTAGGGATGACAGTAATAGTTTTTTTTTTTTTTTTTAAACGGTATACCGAAAATATCAAATACATTGATAATACCAATACATTGAAAAAATTGAGCATATTGAAATTATCGAAAATAGAGAAACATTGAACACAGTATATATCAACTATATACTACTTTTAAATTGTACAATAATTCCAATGGGAAATTTCCAAGGCACCACTTTATATGTATTTAGGAGTGACCAGCGGTGCCGAATATGGTATATTTTAAACAAGTACTACAAGTACCGCCTTTTTTTAAACGGTATACTAAAATAATGAAAATCTAAAATTACCACACCAAAATATTCGTTTAACAATATTTTTGGTATACAGGGTGTTTCTGAAGTGTGTGAGGTAATTAGTATACGCATACTCACTGTGATGCCACAATGAAGATTTTTTTGGAATTTTTTTTCTAACTTCAAAATCTGGGTTTTTTAAATTTATTTTGAGAATATTATCTTGAATGTAAAAATAAACACTCTAATCGTATTTTATGCAAAATTCTCATACGAATCGAGATATCACATCATTTTTGCGCTTGTCGCGAGGGTTTTTCGCGCTCGAATCGACAACTAAAAAAAAAGTCGTGCGACACATCGATTTGTATGAGAATACTGCAAGATAATCAGTGGTGATAATTATTTGTTGTCATTGATAATACACGATTAATTAACACATTGTTTTACATTGTCGACTAATAAAAAATATGAAATAATAACAAAATTAGGGTTAATAGAGTTTTAAACGATCAAATTATACTAGCATACATTTGTGTCATACCTTTTTTTAAATAACTTTTAACTTTATAAAGTTATAATAGTTAGAGATAAAAAAACTACCTATTTGTGTGTTTATACTGAAATTCCAGTTTTTGGATATCATAGTACCTAACATAATTACTTTGACTCGATAAGATAAACATTTTATGTCGTTCAATGACAAGTATTGGACTGAGCTCTAATCAGACCAACTAATGTTCATCATGTACTCTGTAAGGAGTACGGTCAACTCAATATTAACGATAAAAGTATAATATTAGGTTCACTAATAAATAATAATAGTATAAAATAAAATGTTTATCTTATCGAGTCAAAATAATTATGTTAGGTAATAAGATATCCAAAAACTGGAATTTCAGTATAAACACACAAATAGGTAGTTTTTTTATCTCTAACTATTATAACTTTATAAAGTTAAAAGTTATTTAATAAAGGTATGACACAAATGTATGCTAGTAAAATTTGATCATTTAAAACTCTGTTAACCCTAATTTTGTTATTATTTCATATTTTTTATTAGTCGACAATGTAAAACAATGTGTTAATTAATCGTGTATTATCAATGACAACAAATAATTATCACCACTGATTATCTTGCAGTATTCTCATACAAATCGATGTGTCGCACGACTTTTTTTTTAGTTGTCGATTCGAGCGCGAAAAACCCTCGCGACAAGCGCAAAAATGATGTGATATCTCGATTCGTATGAGAATTTTGCATAAAATACGATTAGAGTGTTTATTTTTACATTCAAGATAATATTCTCAAAATAAATTTAAAAAACCCAGATTTTGAAGTTAGAAAAAAAATTCCAAAAAAATCTTCATTGTGGCATCACAGTGAGTATGCGTATACTAATTACCTCACACACTTCAGAAACACCCTGTATACTTTTATAAAATATCATGCCAAAATATTGATGCAAACAAAAATACTGTTACCCCCTAGTATAAATATACAAATACCCGAATGTTTCCTAATGTGATGTTTTTTTAGGCATTGCTTGTTTTTGAAAAATTTTAAACATGTTGCACATTGAAATGGTTTTTCTAATGCATGAGATTTCATATGAACTTCTAATGATCGCTTTCTTTTGAAACCTTTTGCACATATTGCACAAAAATGAGAACGTACTGAAATACAATAATATAATGTAAAATGTAATTAATTATATTTTATATGAATTACTTATAGGTATGATTATTATTATTATTTTTTAACATTACCTGTATGTACTATTTTATGTTCAATCATCTTAGATTTAGTGAAAAAACATTTATCACAGTCCAAACATTTAAATGGTCTTTCGCCTAAGTTTATAAAATAAAATAAAACACAAATTAAAACTTATTTCACATTTTCAATTCTAAAAAAAATAAAAAGATATTTCTGAACACTTATTAAATTTTGATAGCAAAACATAACCCTTGACAATACCTGAAATACTAAATTTGTGTATACAAAAAGTCAAAGACACAAAAGGTTACTCAATATATTTTAAATGAATTATTAAAATTGACTCTTCGACAATAATTGTATGCATGAGAAAAAGAATTTTTATTCAAATATTTATTTAATTATGTAATTTCCACTATAATAGTATATGCAGTGGTGGCAATTAAATAATATAACACAGTTAAAGAATTAACAACAATTAAACAAATAAATTAATAATATAACAGATGGTAGTAATAATAAGAAGAATGTAAACTACTAATAATAATATTTTGAGTTTCAGAAAAATAATTCATTTTAAGAAAACTTTTTATTAGATTTTTTGAAATTATCATTTAGTTTAGGTTTTTTACGTTTCACTTTCAAAAAACCGCATCAGCATAGGTGTAACTAGAATTTAATAGTTACAGGGGCTAGAGTCCTAGAAAACTTATGTTCAAAATAACTTTGGGGCCCCACACCCCCACCACAGAAAACGTAATTGTCCTCTAAAATCAAAAATAAAAATAAACAATAAAGTGAAAGTATAAACTCATCATTAAAAACAAAATAAGTACAATATATGTTATAGGGGGCTAATCCTTCCTAGTTACACCGATGGGAAGTATCTTACAGTACTTTTGGGATCTGCAGTATATAATTTTCAAAATAGTTGTGTAAGTATCATAGAACTCAATACTCATTGTAATAAAATATATTTTATAAAAAAAAAATGAAAAATATCCATCACTACTTAAGTTGATTTTATTTTCTATTACAAACCTAAATACAATAAGAAAACATTATTTTTACTATAATATAGGTATAAATATATTTACCTGAATGTGTTAACATATGATAGTCTAAATGTGATTGGATTTTAAATGATTTATTACATTTATAACAAATCAATGGTTTTTTTATTCCATCTCCATTGCATGTTAAATGATAGAAACAATTCTTTTTTGAATTAAAAGTTTTTTTGCAAACAGTACAATTATATTTAACTTTTCCATCACCTATAACATTTTCATTTTAATATAAATATATTATACATAAAATTTTAAATCACGTGTACAAAATAAATTACATTCAATTGAAGAAATGTGGTCAGGAATTTTAAAAGGTTTTCTTTTGGTATCAGCCATTGTATTATCAGCTCTTGTGTCCAAGTCAAAACTATTTAGCTGGTTTTTAACATTTGTATTTAACATACACGACTCGAGGTTTTTGCTATGTATTGATTCTTGGTCTTTTGAGTCACAGTAATACATAATTTTAAGAGTGTAGTACAATAATATATTTCATGTACCTATACAGTATAATTAATATACATTTTGTAATGTGTGATAAATATTTTTAAGAATAGTATTAATCTAAAATACTTTTCACTTACAGTTTAAATAAATACTTATATTAAAATAAACATATTAATTGTTTATACTTCTAAATGACATTGGCATGCATGTTAATTAATTTGATAGAAAATGGAATTATTGACAACAATAAACAGGTAAATAAAATAATAATAATAATTTTATTATAGTAGTTATCTTGTTACGGTAAAAAACTAAAAAGTAAGTATGAGATAAGTTGACAACAATCACAGCTCCATTCTACACTGTAGATTTGATATTATTCTATGAACCTATAATTTATTATTCTGTATGGGTACCCTATCTTTAATCATGTAAAAAATAATAATGATAAGAAATTTGATAACTCAATACTATTTTTTTTTCAGATGTAAAAATAAATATTGTGCAATTTGTATAAGCAGTAACTTTGGCAATTAGCAGTATTACTTAATACTTATTATAATATTCATTATTCAAGTATTCAACAAGTCCTATTGCAATTATTTCATAAAATTATATAACTCATAACGCGTCTCAACATTTTACCAAGTGCTAATAATCGTCTGAAATATTAATGTCATAAATCACAAATCATTAACTATTAATCTATTTAATATGGCATCAAACGAAGCAAGAAAAAAAGTAAGTTATGCTTATATGATAAATATAGTTGTATAATAAGACAGAATTTAAGTTAAAATAATAGATTTTAAAGATGTCTCCTATTTTGTGTTGTATGGTTTATAAAGTATTAAAAATGTTATTTATGTTTTTACTAAATTTGACATTATTTTTATTTCAGGTACTTTCTACTTTCAAATTAGTGCATAAAGCTAGATTATTGTGTTTTAAAAATGATAACCAAATGTTAAATGGTATGCATACATTATTATATATTTTTTACAATACTAAATTAATGACATATTATATTAAAATTATCATTTGTTAACTGTTAGGGGTGTCAGTTGACACAACTATCAGAATGGGTGGTAGGTTACTGAGTGACTGGTGGTTTAGGTGTTCCATTATGAGATAAACTAATAATATGTACCTAGGTAACAACATTGATTAAAACATTTCTAAACATTTTCTTAAAAACCATTTTGACACACCTTACAGAAAACGAATGTGTGCCACTAGTTATATCAACATCAGTAAGATTTGTACGTTTCCCCCGGGTTTTTTAGCAATACAAGATGGATGTTTCCGCCCTGAATCAGTGTGTATAGGTACATAATAATATATTGGTAAATTTGTTTCAACTGACAATTTATGAAGAAAATTTAAATTTAATTGTACCTTATATAGGTTTTTTCAATTGAAAAAACCACTATGTTAATAATTAATTAATGCATATAGTTTTCTTAATATGTTTATTATTGAAAAAATCCTAACTATGTTACTATTTTTATCTTAGTACATTTTTTTCAAAGCAGGAAATCAATTATCATAAATTCTGTAGTGTGACTGTATTAGTTTATTTTTGTTTGACAAATATAACAGATGTTTCAATGACATTCTCTATAACAGTCTTTAGTATAAAGATAAAATATTATGCACCGATAAACAAAAGAAACAATATCATTAATTAGAACTTTTTTTATTATTATTTTAGCTGCCAAACATCAAATTAATGAAGAATTCAAAAAAAATAAAACCGTTTCGGATCCTGCAGTAGTTCAGAATGTATGAATGCAATTTAAATAATTTACTTTACATTTACTAATTATAGTCCAAAGCTTTATGGTCTTAATTTAATTTAAATTATATAAAATATTATTTTTATATATTTAACACTTAAAATATGTATTTTAATTTAATTGATAAATTTGTAAACTTACTAGGTATGCAGATAATGGATATTATATGAAATTGTTTTATTTCTTTATAGCTCATAACCTTGGCTCAAGATGTTGAACATGAACTATTAACACAAGTTGTTCAAGCAGAAAGAGTAAATGAAAAAAAATTTAGTGAGTTCCTATTTCATATAAAATTATTATTTTTGTTTTCTCATTGTATGTCTAGACAGTAAATATTATTCATAATTGTTCTATATTTTTATGTTTCAGAATTAAATTTAGATCCAGAACGTCATACTTTGGAGAATATACCATACACTGAATTAGATGATGAAGCATATAAAAAATGGAAAGAAGAAAAAAAGAAAAGTAGAAAGAAAAATGAAAAGTGTTGTTGCGACTAGATTGTAATTGAATTGTTTTCTAAAATTTAAAGTCCAATTTTCTATAATGCAATATTGCAATCCAATATTTGTGTAGAATTGTTTGCACAGTAGTGTAGTATATACTAGGGTCTCTGTTGCATGTGTTATTCTAAGGTACCCATGTTCTTCGCTCAAATGTTGTTAAGATCTATGAAGTTTAGATATGTGTATTGGCATATCTATAGTTTAATTTCACGGGCTAATTGTTAATTTATTTATATTTTAATTTTAATTACAATTTAAAATATACTAAATTGTGATCTTAGTCAAGTGTATTTTTTCTTTGTTTATATTATAAACACATTTTAAGTATACATTTCAATGACCATGTACAACTGCACACCCTATGATATACACGTGAAATAAAATGAATCTTGGACAAAAAGTCAATTTTAAAGAAAGTTGGACAAAAATTCTGGATTCATTTTTTATTGTCGGACAAAAAGAATGAAAATACAAAGTATTCTATAAAATTTTCATTTATAAGCAGTGGTTCAATTGGGGGAGGGCAGCCTTCCACTTTTTATAATTCACATTTTCCATCCCTCTCTTCTATTTGTACGACTGTTTAAGCCATGTATGAGAACTATATCAATTATGAAAGGCTTCCCTTCATCCCTCCACTTATTTTGAGCCACTTTGGTTATTGCTTATAATTAAGTACTTTATTATAATAGGTATAGGTATATACTATGTCTATATACAGTGTGTCCCGTTTTAAATGTACCACTAAATATCTCAGCCCGATAATCTTAGATTGAAATACGGTTTACTGCAATAGCTAAGGGGTACTGAAGTACACATTTAAGGACAAATTTCAAATTTTTAACTCTTGTAGTATGCGCATGCGCAATACAAATTTTTTTTTTTTAAATTGCAACACCTATTTTTCTCACCGGATATGGATAGATTATTTTATTCTAAGTAATTTTGATCCATTGACCATAGTTCTAAACCTAAAATTGAATGTGTTACAGCTTTTTGAAATTTTAAAATAATTAAATTTTTTCGATTTTACCAAAAACATTACACGCTTGAATTTGATACAAAAGTAAATCATTTTTGAACTAAAATGAAATGCATTTAAATAATTGAATACAAAATCACCTAAAACAAAATGCCTAGCTAATTTAAATTTAATTAATTTAAAAATAAATGTACCAATTAAATTGACACTGACGTTGTAATTTGCGTTATTATTGTGCGATAAAAGTTATTGAATTATTTCCAGTTTTATTATTAGTACTTCGATAATATTATTGTAGATATTGTTTGATTATCAAAAATGAACTAATGCACGTTCCCTCAGTATTGTACGTTCATCGATGACACTTATAACTTTTAACATAATACTTTGAAAGATTTTTCTTTTTTTCTTCTTTAAAATGTTAAACAATAGTGAAAAAGTTGATATGATTTTAATTTATGGTGAGTGTAATAAACATTGTCGGGAGGCTGCAAGGGTTTATGCAAATCGATATCCCGAAAGATATCATCCACCGCATAATTTTTTTTTAAGATTAGTTAATAATTTACGAACTTACGGGACTTTTTCGATAAGAGATGCACAGAGACAACCACTACGCAATATGGAACCAAATGATGATCAGGAAAATGAAGTAATTGCGTACATTCAATTAAATCCTCACTCATCTTTAAGACATGTTGCTAGAGAATTTGGCTTTTCAAAAACAAAGGTACACAAAATATTCAAAAAATACAAGTTACATCCTTATAGGGCTGATCTAGTTCAGCATTTACGCCAAGGTGATGACGAACGTAGATTAACATTTATTGCATGGATAACAACATGTATAAATAACGACCCATTATTTTTAAATTACATTTTGTGGACCGACGAATCAAAGTTTACCAATAATGGTGTTTTAAATAAGCAGAATAACCGTTATTGGTCAAACGGAAATCCACATTGGGCAGTTGATACAAATTATCAAACAGTATGGGGCACAAATGTGTGGTGCGGATTATTAGGAGGACATTTAATAGGTCCACATTTTTATGACGGTACTCTTAATGGAAGACGTTATTCAGATTTCTTAACTTTGCTACCGATCATGTTGGAAGATGTCCCTTTATTACTTCGTCAAAACTTATTTTTTCAACAGGATGGAGCACCCGCTCATAATGCCATTATTGTAAGACAACAATTAAATGAAATGTTTGGAAATCGATGGATGGGAACTCACGGGCCAGTGGAATGGCCCCCACGGTCACCTGATCTAACACCATTAGACTTTTTTTTATGGGGCCATTTAAAGACTGTTATTTATGCAGATCCACCAGCAAACTTACAGGATTTAAAAAATAAAATAACGGTAGCGTGCAGACAATTAACAAAAGAACAAATTTTGGCAGCACCCTATAGAGAAGTGAGTCGTCGACTGGAATTGTGTTTAGAAAAAAATGGAGGAAATTTTGAACATTTTATTAGATAAAAAAAATAAACATAAGTCAAATCAATGTAACGGAGTAATTTTAATTTAATTCCTACTTCACATTCTTAATTAAAATCTATGAAAAAATCACTCAATTCAAGCGTGTAATGTTTTTGGTAAAATCGAAAAAATTTAATTATTTTAAAATTTCAAAAAGCTGTAACACATTCAATTTTAGGTTTAGAACTATGGTCAATGGATCAAAATTACTTAGAATAAAATAATCTATCCATATCCGGTGAGAAAAATAGGTGTTGCAATTTAAAAAAAAAAAATTTGTATTGCGCATGCGCATACTACAAGAGTTAAAAATTTGAAATTTATCCTTAAATGTGTACTTCAGTACCCCTTAGCTATTGCAGCAAACCGTATTTCAATCTAAGATTATCGGGCTGAGATATTTAGTGGTACATTTAAAACGGGACACACTGTATAGTAATAAATAATTAATATTCATTTAAAAAATGTAATTAATTTTAATATTCTGATAATTTATTTATTAATTTTAATTTGGTATAGTTGTGGACCATTAGGTAAGCAAATAGTAAATACATACAAATAAATATTAATAATGAATCAACAAAAGAATAATTTTTTAAATTGCATATCTACCTGTTATAGCTGAAGTGAAACTTTTTACAAACATTTCTTTGAAAAACTTGAAAATCATCCTAACCCACTAATAAAAGGCCTACATACTTTCTCACTCCCTGGAAACCCATAGCAAAGACTTAAAAGAAAATGGTGTCGTGATTATTTTAATTAAATATTCCCCCTTAATTACCCTAAACAAATCACAAGGTAAGTGCCGCTAATGGGTGGCTTCTTATTCAAAAAATCCATGTTTTTTAATCCTAATGCTATACGCTTATTGTATAAAATTGTATAGATTGTGTATGTGCTCTTGTAGAAATAAAAAAAAATAAAAAAATTGCATATAATGTCATTGTGAAAATGTTATTTGTATTAAATTATTATTATTGTACACAAAACTTAATACTGATTGAAAAAATCTTTCTGGTATAATTAATCCGATTGCATTGAACTTAATACATTGAATTCAGTTCAGTGTCAACTGGCTAGGGAAGGGGACAATATGCATAACTATATTATAGTATATTATAAATTGATACTATTTCCCAGAAAGAAAAGGTATTTTTGATTAATTTAATAAATTTCTTCTTAGTTAAATTGTTTCTTGTCTATAAAATAATTTTCATTGGGTAGGTATGTCAACATGTTTCTTTAATAAATGTATTATTTTTGGATATGAGAAAACTGGAAACACACAAATCCCCATAGAATTTAGTGAATTTACTTTTTGGCACAAAACTTCCTATAGTTACGCAATTCAATTGCTTGAAATTATTTTGTATTTTTAAACATAAAATCAAAAATAAATATATTTAAAACTTCACAAGTATGTAAATAAAAAATAAATATGTATTTATTCATCGTAACATAATCCAGAAATTCTCAGGAATTAAGTTCCATATTGTGACCGTTTGTCCGTAGGTAGACGATATCTGAAAATTCGACAAGTAGGTAATTGTACAGATGAATGTAGATGAAATTTATTGTTTCGTTTTTCACTTTTACGTACGATTGTTTCTAGTGGCATTGGCTATAATCTAAGAACCTATCAAGAGGATACCTACTTCGAAACAAATGTACAACTGCCTCCTCGTAATGCCACGCCATAGGCTTTAAGGATCAAAATAGGTCTATACTAGGTACTATAACCCATACTAGGTATATAGTCGAGATTATTGGTTTTTATTTCAGCGAATTAAGAGCTGACGCAACCAGAACTCCATGGGCTAACCAGTAACCGGCTGAGTCTATTGTCTAAGTGGGTAACTATCTGGTAAATTCGTGTTAAGTGTAAAGCTCAAAAAAAATAGAACGCAATCATATTAAACTAGCCTGGCTTGACACGCTAGCTTATTAGAAAATTCCCTAGCTTGCAAGCTTAAAAACAAAGCTAGTTCTGTTTACACAAAGCTATTATTACTAGCTTTCTGGCTTACTAGCACGGATATAGATGCTACTAGTATTATAGTATTACCTTGCTATCCTAGTTTATTTATTCCTAGCTTGAAAAACTAGCCTCGCGTATTCCGGGCATAAACGACATGGAATAACTATACCACAGGGCACAGTGCAACCACGATAGTAGTAAAATTTATTGACATGCTCTTCGTTCAGTCTCTCTTATCTCTCTGTGATCCTTGTGATATTTATTATTTACCAGTTACCTCCGTTGGCACGGGCTGAGATAATATTATTGTCTATAGTATACGCTATAGTGCTATACAGTAGTTGATTATGAATTACTATTTGGACGATTTCGTTTTGGTACTTAAAAGAATAATATTAAGTAATGTTGAGGAAGTTTCTTGCAATTTTATAACTTGTGTTTAAATATTTAATCAAAATACTTTGAATCTTCACTTTATAGAAAGTACCCATGATTTAATATTAATATTTGCGGTTTTCTTAAAGTTCATTGAATTAGGAGTGCATTAAACATAATCATAAGAAATCATTCAGTTGGTAAGTTTGCGAAAAGCGATTTGGTTATTCACAATAATTATATTTTACTCATTTAAATTACAATTGAAAGTTTTCCATCATAGTTGATTAATAATTTATGTATTTCTATAATATACTTTGATAAGATTTTTGGTTCTTAAGAAAAGTATACTTGTGATGCATGTAAGTACATATTACTAACTACTGTTGTACCTATTTAGTAGTAATAGTAGATGATACCTATACAAATATAAGGTTATTATTAGGCTTAAACCAAATAAACAATTTAAGTTTTCATAATAAATGAACTAATATTATGTATTCAATTGAGGAGCCCGATTCTACACTAAGTGACCGAGCACCCGATTTCCTACAGCGTGACTAGACCCTTGGTGCTCTATTATCAAACTAGGTTCCCAGTGCTCTAGACACAGCATATTTCAAGTATTAACTAATTAAGAGTGATTATACTACACTAATTTGCTGCCTGTTTCACCCATATTATATTCTGTAAGGATTTAGTTGATTATGTGAAGAAATAAAATCTAAGTAATTTTTACACTGTGTGTGTGTATTATACATAGTGAGCAGGTATCTACTTAAAAGATTTTTGCCCTTGAAATTTTCACAAACTACTATTGTTTGTAGGTATGTTTGTAGGTATAATTGGGCACTTGTAAAGGATAGAAATAAAGACTGCAAATATGTCGTGATTGCAATAAAAATTATGAAATATTAATGCATTGTTAATATTAATATTTATTTTATTTTATTTACAGAATAATTATGAGGGAACGAGAGCGTTATAAAGATAAAGGACATGATCGTACTAAAGATAAACATCGTGATCGTTCCAACAGTTTAACTAGAACACGTAGGGGTAGATCTCGAAGCTCATCACCAAGAACAAGGCGTGAACCACGTGAGCATTCAAGAAGTCCACGTCGTGGTCGTTCTCGAAGTACTTCACCGCGAGCTAGACGTGATGTGCGCAAAAGAAGCCGCTCTCGTCAGCGTCATTCAAGATCAAGATCACCTGTAAGACGACATTCAAGAGAAAGACGTCGTTCTAGAAATCGTGATTTAAGAAGATCAAGGTCAAAAACTCCACCAAAAAAAGACAAAAAATACACAAGGTCTGTCCAACATACTGCTCCTAAAGTTACAGAAGAAGATCTACGTGGGAAAACTGCTGAAGAACAAGAAATGATGAAAATGATGGGATTTTGTAACTTTGACACTACTCATGGTAAAGAAGTTGACGGCAATAATGTCGGTGATGTTCATGTTATACTTAAACGTAAATATCGACAGTACATGAACCGTAAAGGTGGATTTAATAGACCTCTAGATTTTGTAGCTTAAGTATTATGTATACTGTTTATTTAAATTAAATAGTCAATTGTATAATATTTGACTAACAATTATACATTTTACTTTTACTTTTAAGAGAATAAGTTTAATTGTGTATGTAATAAATTATTCTGATTAAAATGTCTACTATACCATACAATTTAAACTAATTTTATTTTTATAAAACAACATTAACAGAATTCCTACTATGTTTGACCATGTTTTTATTGTTGTGGAATATTGAATTACTGGAATTAAATTTACTTTATTAGGTAATATTTTTCTATAAAGCTTTATATATTTATCTACTTTGACAATATCATAAAACTATTTTTTCAGTACTGTCAATTTGAAATTTTAAAGGGTTATAGATTTTAATAATTAATAATACAATCAAAAATTTAACGTATATCTAGGATAATATAAATTGATAATTATATTTTATATTTATATATTTTGTTATCAAAATAGTCGCGTCTATGATCCATGTCTAAATTATACTTAGCCATACTATGGTCTATCCATACCAGATTAATTAGTAATTACCTTTATTTTGTTTATGATTTTGATCAATTTGATCTATTGTATAAGTAATCATTTACAGTTGGATTTGAAAAAAAATACGGCAAGAAAATACTTATTTTATGACTGTTGGAATGTTACATTCTCCCAGTACTATTTTTGTGATACCTATCCCAACCACACAAAATATTCGCTATCTAGGACCGCTGACTAACCTGGGCTCATCACATCCATACCAAATTAATTACGTGGAACAATTGATCCCGTCAACTACAACCACTTCTAACCCCCTAACACTTCAATCCAAACAACAAAATTCTCCTACATAAAGGTCTACTAAAAACAATATGGCGTATAACTTTAGGGCACAGCAAAACTGTCGAACATAAAGAAAATCCATACATTCCGAAATAAATGCCTCTGACAAATAACCAAAGCTCCCTTTTATGTCTCAAAAAATACACTCTATAGATACCTCATCTCAACAGTACAACAGGTAGCGACAACTCTACAAAAACTTCTACTCAAATCTTTCTAATCACCTTAATCCCTTAATCTCCGATTTTTTTTATTCGACACATTCTAGGTAATCCCAGAAGGCGATTAAAACGAAATAGGTGTCAAGACCTCTTAAATAATTAAAATCACACTCTCCACCACGGGAAGTTCCATCAATGGATAGATTCTTCCCCCAAGACCACAAGTCTACATAAGTCACTTCAACACTTAAACTTATTGTAAGTAAAATAAAATTATAGATTGCATAGTAAACTATTTGAAATAATAAAAAAATATATATTTTTGTGAGCATCAAACAATCAAGTCTTCAATTATGATTTGAAATTATATAATGTCAATAACAATAATATAACAAATTGTAATTACCTTCAGTGGTTGCTTATCTCGTAAAAACCCAAACATTTTTTGTTGATCAGAATCAAGCTTTACTCTACCTCTCAATTTATCAGTAATCAAAATAAAATTGTTTATTTCAAAAATTTTATGTTCTCCATTTTTCAGTCAAAATATTATTTGTAAAATTATGATATAGTAACTATGATGAAACCACAAATTAAGGTACTCTATCTTAGTCCTTGATTGAACATTATCAATGTAACCTCTATTAAATGAAACACTATCAACTTCATAATGCTGATTACTACACAATTTTTAAATTATTTTTCTTTAAAAACTTATTATCCAGCAACGAATATGAAAACAATCACTATTTTAATAAGACAAGATTGAATGTGCAAAATTAGGTTTCCTAAATAAATTGGTGTTTTTTTATATTAAAACAATTATATGCATTTTCAATAAGAAATATCCATTGTTCACCTATATTAAACCACTAAATTAAATAATTATTTTAAAAAAATCACCATTTAGACACTGTAACTCAGTGTATTCATTCAAGTTGCATCAATCTTAGTAGGACACTATGATCAGATCTCCCACATTGGGGTATTTTATCACGTTCTTGAAATTTGAATCCCTTTTTCAAATTGTAACTCATTTATTCATTATTTTAATTTTCATGTAAATATATTTATTACTACGTAAGATTTTAGTTATAAAATGCACACAATTGAGAGGAAATTATATTATAACTGCTTGGATAATGGATATTCTGTTGGAAATGTATGGCCACAATAATAATTAAATTTGCTATTACTAGATTATTAATTTAATTGAAGTTGCCAGTGGACCAGATGTTATGGAATAGAAGATTAGTTCCTATTGATACTGGATTATTTTTATACTGTTAAAATAAAATTATATTCATGCAGAATTATGTATTTTATACATTTACGTATAAAAACTAAATGTATTTAATTTGAAAGGTTATTTATTAATTATTATTGATACACATAACTTACAATTATTTAAGATAGGAGTACTCAAATTACTCCTACACTACTAATTGTTGATAAAACTGTCAACAATAAATATAGCTGAATAAAATGGTCAAACATATCAAGGTAAAATAAAAACAATTTCTCCAAATAAAATGAAAGTAATTTAGGAACGTAGGATTAAACACTGTGAACAATTCTACAAACCCGTTTTAGTTTAACCAGGTAAAAAAACGAATAAACGAATATTGGTTTTATTCATAACCACGGTTAGTCTGCTTCAGGTTACTATTAACAAAAACGGAAGGTCCACCTCTACCCCTACGTCCTCTGTTGAAATTATTTCCACTTCTGTATTGTTCATCCCAGTTACAATGATGATCATTACGGATTCTATTTTGATCACTACGATAAGTTTTGTTATGGTCTCTGAAGTTGTCTTCTTTACTATGATTCTCATTACGGCCCCTATAGTTATCAGTTCTAGGTCGATGGTTATGACTGAAGTTTTCAAATTTTTGAGGTTGGTAAACATTTTCCCTACCTTCAATTTTTGTATTTTTTGGCTTATGTTCCCAATCCTAAATAAAAAACAAAAGATAAATAAAAACCACTTAAAAATGTGAAATAAAAACAAAAAACATTAAAATAAGCTAACTTTATAATGGTTTTGCTGTGGTGGTCGATTATCATTTAAAAATTGAACTGGTCCGATATGATTATATTTGTTTATGGTAGAATGTGATGATGGAGGAAGAGGAGCGGCACTTTTTTTGTTATCCTCTAATTTTTGTAAGTTTTCATAATGTTGGAAGTCATCAAAAATCGAAGTTTCATGTCTATAAGAATGTATTATTCTTAGTACTTGTACACCCTGATTATAAGGAACCTCTTGTGTATCTCTAGAATGAGTCACTGGTTTGTTTTCATTGTTTTCTAAACGAATGTGTCTTAATTGGCTATTTGGCACATCTTTTACATATATCCATCTAAAAAAATCAAAAATTTAATCTCATAATTTATTAAACATTGATGATTGTTTAAAATTACCTAACACCAAACTGCCCTTTCCATTTATCTTGACACCATACTGAACTAGAAGAATTATAATCAACAGCTGATATCATTTCTGCTACTCCACAAAAATGTCCAGATCCATTTACAGAGTACAAAAGAAATATTTTTTTTTTATCTGATGAACTAAACGCTTGATCTAATCGTCTATTTCCATGATCGGTAGAGCACCATATCTCATATTTAATTGATCGATGAATATCATCTTCAGAATAAGATTTAATAATAAAAAATCTTGATCCTTCGGGTGGATTAGAATACTCGGCGGGGTTATAATGATTTTTCATTTTTAGTTCGTCAATTATTTTACGCTTAGTATTATCTTCTGTTGGAGAATTTATAATCTGAACTGGTGGTGGTGATGACATGATCATAGTTGGAGGCGGTACATGCCTAATATGATCAGGTGGAGGTATGTGAGTAGGTATTTCTGCCATAGGAGGAGCATTATAGGAAGGAACATTTATATGATCATTCCAGTTTTGAGGTTTTGCTTCCACAACTATAGGAGCTTGAATAAGGGGAACTTGAACCTGTACAACTGGAGGAGGAGGAGGAGGAGGAGGTTTACCTATAGGCTTTGATTCCCAGTGACCATCATTTTTGCCAGGTATTATAGGTTGTGGAGGCATACCAGGACTTTTCTTCTTCGTTACAGAAGTTGATGACATAATGGGCTTCAGTGGTTGGTTTGGGACAGCTGCCCATGTTGATACTTTTTTCTGCTGTAGACCACTATTATCTCTATAATCATTTACACTTAGTGCTTGCACATCTTGTTCGATGGTTTTTATTTGTTCGTTTACTGGAACTCCGTACATTTGATCTCCAGCCCTAAAATATCCTTCAAATGGCTTTTGAGCAATGTAATAGTTATAGCCAGGGACAGGGGTAGGATGATTGTACTGAGCATTATAAACATTGGGTTGATTGTAAGTCTCTGGAGTAGGCAAATATCCTCCAACATATGTCAACGCTTCAGGCGCATTTGTCCAAGATCGATCACCCATATTGTATGCAGCTGGTGTTGGATATTGATATGGAGCTGGATTTTGATACTGATAATACTGCTCTGGTGTCATAGCATTACCATAACCCTGAAATATGTTTGTTAAATAATTAAAATTGATAATTTAATATAATATATTATCAAATCAAATATTTAAGGTTTTAAAAAAAATATCAATTTGAACTATTTTAGTTTAAAATTAAATAAAAATTAAGTTTTATAATTTTGTTACACAAACCAGTTTTTATTTAAAAGTCTTTAATGGTATTTATATTACTAGGCAAATAATGACTATTACTTACAGGTTGTTGTTGGAGTTGTGGATGCCAAACAGTTTCAAAATGTGCAGCCTCTTTTACTTTGTTGGGATCTTTTGGTCCATTGACTATTTTACGAAACATAGAAACAATTAATACTAGATATAGATTTATTTAGAAGATTTTTTCAGTAAAGCAATGTTTGCTTTACTAATCTAGATTAATTAAGTCTACAATAATCCATGTCTATCAATACACACCGACCATAAAGTAAACAATGAGACAATTCTCATGAATACTGATGTAATTAGTAGGTATACATGAAAGCCAAAAATTACATAGTTATTGTTGTTGTCATATTTACCTTGGTGTTCTTGTCCCTTGACGCGCTGAACGAGTACATAGAACATGACAAATAAATACAAAATAATACCGAAATATTATAAATTGTACCAATCGCAACAGCCAGTACCTACGTAAGAATAATGGTTATATTTCACCTGTTCAGAAACGCCGGCTGACATTACACGACCGTGTCTATAGCGTACAAATACCACCACCGCGGTTGTCGTAATCGGCAATCAATCGAATTCGACTAACACTACGAACGAAGGCAGACTCTCAAGGTGCACTAGGTCGGGAGACTTCTGAGACATTCGACGTATAAGAATAAGTAAATCGGTGGTCAAACACATACACAACAATGGCGGATTCGGGATTACGGCGAGTTGGAAAATGCATAAGCAGTCGGCGAAGCAGTCAGCACGCAGATAGCCGAATGCCAATATATTATATAGATGGTATATATACCAAGTGGTATAAGACGAAAACACCAAACAGTAAATAAACAATAAAAACAAACATAAAAAATACACAGAGCGATTGATAAGTAGTGGGGGTTAACGAAGAGGAGGGTCGTGGACCGCGGTTGAAGTCGTCGGCAGAGTGCGTGAGGGCGCTCGTCCCGCGCTTCTGAGATTTAAAAATTATATACTGCAGTCCCCAGCCGTAGTCGTATATTAATATAAACATTTAATTAATCAGGATTAATCAATTGTCAGTGGCACACACAAAGAGGGGAGGGGCTAAAGCACCCTCCCCATTCCCGTATTATTAATACTTAAAAAAACAAAAAAAATATCATCAAGTTTCAACTTTCGTCAACTAAGATACGTATTTTCATATCCGTCTCACCGGATTATTATAGCTATAGCCAAATAGCCAATCACTAATAATATATACGTACCCAGGTGGCTAGGTTGGTTGAATTCATTTTTGGAAAAACATTGTATTTGTATACCAATTTTTCTAAAATGATCAGTAATTTTTTGGTAAAATTATGAGCTACAAGTACAACACATACTACAAGGTATGTGACCTTAATTAAATTTTCAAGCTTTAGCGCTATAAAATTTAATATTTTATGCATTTTTAACTACAAATTAATTGTGATTTTGTCCAAATTTAAACTTTAAATGCTTATAAAAAAAACGTGAAAATATGTATAAAAAAAATAAATACTATTAAATATCTTATGAGGAACCAATATTTTTAAGATTTTGACCGACCGAATAATTTGCAATTAACATTTTTAGAAAAAAAAATACTAGAATAAATCAAATACAATCAAAGCGAAGACGGCGAAGACCAAGGTTATCAAATGATTTTAACTAATTTATTTTTGTTTTTTAAGATTATTTTTAAAAGTACTGAACATTTTCAATTTTGATTTCCCAAAAATACCAGTGCTCTTCGCCATATTTTTTTGGCACATGTCACTGTCACTGTGTCAGCTATGCATGATTGGCAACTTTTTTTTCAACGACGATCTATATTTTTATAAAACAATATGATCAACTAATATAAAGATACAACGTAATATATTATAATATTATAAAACGTTCGTATTATTTCCTATATATTTTAATTTGTAAGGTAGAATGCAATGGCCAGGGTGACAATGTGGAATTCTGGAACTCAATGGACAAACATTAAACAACTAAATTATCGCTCAAATAAGTACCTATAATAGTGTATAAAATGCATTAATTGAGCTCCAGCCTCCAGTGCGTTGATTTGCGAGTGTGGCACACTGGCACTCGTAGGCTCAAGGCTGTCAATAAAGAATTGACGTCGACGCCCGACGGGCGACCGTCGAACGCGAACCAGTCCCGTATATTTATATTATATTATATTAATAAATAAAAATGTAACGATAATAATAGATATCTGGTAGTTATCAGTAACAATATCTTAATATAGACCTAAATTTGTATAAATAAATAAAACCATTCGAATCCACTGATGGAAAATAATTGTCAGATAATTACCCACGGTCTTAGATTATTTACCTCAAAGCAATACGGGAAAAATCGAATTCACAGTATATTAGTAGTAGAACATTAGTGCGTAACTATTAAATATAATATTATATATACTGTATATATAGGCTAAAGCCGACAAGATTACAAATATCAATATATTGGCTGGCAACTGATTTATTTTATAAATCTAAAATCAATAAGGAACCCTTAAAATGCCTTTTAATTACAGTAACTAAATAAATGGTAAAATATGAACATGGAGTCTGGGCTCAAAATAGCCGGAAGCCCAGTCCGCGATCGAAGACCTGCGGCCCAGTCTATTCCTACCCTGGCAGTGCCGAGGATTATTCATTAAATTATAGTGGGAAAATGTCAATGGGGGGTGGGGATAAATACATCCCCACCCCCTGGCTGCGCCACTACAGGTGGATAATAATTATTTGGCTACCTATATCTGTTTTTTTTTTTAATGACCCATATATAGTCGTGAGGTGTGTGGAGGTTACGGTTGGTTGAGGAACACGTGTTTATGTTTTGCCAGGATTAATTATTCCTGGGGTGGTTATCCATCCGAGAGCTAGCTGTGCCTTACGATGCTTCAGTGCTGCACATATTACATGACCCATTTTAATAATCGCTACAAAATAATGGTACATAATACATAAAAATAGCTAATAAGTAAAAAAAGAATTTAATTAATTTTAGTACATTTTTTTTAATTTGATCTAGCAGGACAAAGATAAAAATTACTGATACTAAAAATAAATAATAGAAAAATGGAATCCAATTTAAACCTTCCTCTCCAGTGAAAGCGACTTAGACACAGAGACCGATGTGTCCTGTTGTGTATAATTTAGCACCGTTACAAATTCGAAGGAACAAGGCGCAGGTTTGCAGAGTGCAGGATCATAAAGAACTGTAATGAGGACAAAAACTCACTGTCAAAATAGCAAACATAGCAAACACTGAAACACTACAAAAATTCCCATCATTTTGATTCAAATCAAGGAAGTCCCCGTGGGGACCAGTTGAAAATGTAATAAATTCAAACTTCAGTAGTTCAGTGGTTTCTGGGCGTGAAATAAGGAAGGGTAGTCTGGGGTCAAACAACAAGAACGGCCCGTTCAGAACGGGTACCTAACTAACCCCTGCTAAATGTTAGAGGGAATGTGTCTAACAAGACGTACGCAATTGACAGTGAATCGTATCAGAACCAGGCACGTAGCTAGAAAATATTCTTAAGGTGGGACAATATTCACTGGTTATTAATTATTATATTGTATTCTACAATTTTTATTCGTCGCAATAGAGGTTTAATAGGTAGTCAAAATAGTGAGTTCACTTCACAATGTTAATAATTTTTATTTTTGTTAATAATTTTTAATAATTTTTTACTTGGCAAATGTGTTTTGTTATTACCAATGTCTACTAAATAAATAAATGCTACTGGTTGACGTTCGCTAAGAAAGTATTCTCCCGCTATATGCCCACGGCCCGCGGCCCACCACTCCTATAGTCATATGCTTATATCTCACGTATTTTCGATTTTTAACCATTTGTTATTCAATTTATGACTAGTTGTACTGTCACGCTAAGTTAATTATTTTTTTTCCAAAACCAAAGATTTAAAATAATATATTCTATTTTGTGTTAAAATGTATTTTATAATAAAAAATAATAATAATCGAAAATATCTAATTTTATTTAGGCACCTATAATTATAGTAAGTAACAATGGCTTTAATATTTAAGGTTTATAGAATATAATAGAATAGATATTTTAAACAGAAAAGTTATAACTGCATTTTTCAGAAAAGAACTATTTGTCTATTTACTAATTTCTCAGTATATTCCCTATCCCACCATAAATTATATAACAATATATTATAGATATGTTACTGTGAATGACATGACGTAAACGTGGTAAATGTCGTCATTCCCCGGCAAATGATGTCATTGACCTAAAAATTGGTAAATGTTGTAAATATAGACATTCCCCGGTTATTGTCGTCAATACCCGATCCCCAGTTTAGTTGAATAATGATGTTCAATAGGTACATTTTATGTCTGTGTGGACGATCATTGATACGTGTGATGTGGGTACGCAAATAAGCTTCATTAGTTAAACTTAAAAACATCATGACGGAAGTAGATACGAACAATTTTTAAAGCTCGAAGTCGGTACAACTGTTTGTATCCCAATAAAAATCAATGTGTTTATAGAACTCGAGGTTCTCCGCGTAATTTACTCGCTGTTATTACTCTTTATGTGAAGATGGCATGTATAAATTATGTAAGCCAATAATTTTAATTTTTATAATATTTATTTAATTTCAAATAAACCCGAATGTTTGAACCAGGTACAGAATACGGCGTATTGAAACACAAATATACACGACCACAAATTTCCCAGTGTAAAGAAAAATTTCTAGAACTAGATGAAGCCATAAAAAAAATTAAAGATAGGGAAATTACATTACGCGAAGCTGCAGGGCAAGGAATACCTGGTCAACAAGGCTTCAATCGATGCAACTGCAAAACTGGTTGTGGCACTAAAAAATGTGCTTGCAATGCAGCAGAAATGTTGTGCAGTTCAAACTGTCATGGTACCAAAACTGTTAAAATAAATAATTTATAATATTCATTTCAGCAATAAATCATTATTAAATGGTACATACCTGTGGTAAAATAATCAGAGTATTATTTGAGATTTACCATCATTTACCACCAGTTTTGGTAAATGACATCAACCGCCATTGAAAGATGAACATTTGAGTTTAAAATGTATTTTTTACATAATTTACCACCATAAATACATAATTGAATCATTTTGGTCAATTACGTCATTAACCAGGGAAAGACGTCATTCACCAATTTTCGTCTTTCACCGTAACATATAAATATATATTATAATTTATAGGTACATGTTTTTATACCACTGTTTAAAGTATATATAAATAATAGTAATAAGTTATCCGGTCTTTAGTAATAACTAATAGTATATTAAACCGTGTTGGCGTGTTGTATATTCATTAATCATAATTAACTAAGAATTATTGGGTCCTTATTATATTTTTATTCATTCATAGAATTACTGCTGATTAGAATAATATTTGATATTTTATGTGCTGGCAATTTATTGTATTTTAATAATGAATTTGATTGTTACAATTAATAGTTGTGGACCACTAGGTAAATAAATACATACAAATAATTTAATTATTTTGTTTGATTTCATCATTGATTAAACTATTGAAGTACTTTTGTATTTGTTATTTTATTATTATTGTTATTATTATTTAATTTTAAATGTATAAAATATATTTATATTACAGTATGAATGTATGATGAGTAGAGCATTGAAAATACGAGGGATATGAGTTGTAAGCATCAACTCAACTTGAGACTTGAGTGGCTAGAGAATTCTTACTTGGCGGGCGTCAATTACTAATAAGTAACACTTTGCTTTAATTTCACTTGGTCACACTGTATATTTTACCAGTGTTTGATTACCACAACCATGGTCCACTAATATGAGTTATGATAACACAACGTCCGCCCGTCACGCTGCGCACGGCAACGACGAGCACGAGACCGTCAAAGCATCAATCGTCGACGTCATCCCAGGTTCCTTTTCGTCCGGCGTCCGCCATTCTCTTTTCGGTAACACTTACCGTACGTCGTGACGTTTGCCGTCGGTGCCGCTTACCAGTCGGATTTTTTTATTTTTCTCAAATTAGTTTTTACTAAACACTGACCGTTTAAGATGGCCGCTGGAAAGAAACAGGTACGTTTTAAAAGACATGAAAACATAATAACCGTGTTCTTGTAAATAAGTTCTGCGCTACTATACAACAAACCACGTGTTAAGTACTGTTTTTGGTAATAATTTGTAATTGGATGTGTGGAATGACTAGGTTTTTGGAAAACACTTTTTTGAGAGTCCTTAGTAGGTCATTTATCCATAGGTATACATTTTTGATAATTAACCGGTGTCTAGTGTGGTTGAAAACGATTTTCTTTTTTCGGGAGCATGTACTTATAACCAATTAAAATAAAATAGGTTTGTTAGAAGCCTTGCCTATTTATTTTAGTTTTTAGATGGCCACTTATATGTATCGTTGAAGTATTGTTATAAAAACCGAGATTTTCTAAAACTGAATTCTGTACAGTAGGTGGCTTCATTAATTTTATTTGTGTACATGGGTAAAAGTCATTATGTACCGCTATTATACAGACTTATCATTAATATAGGTGCATTTTGTAATTTTGATGTACACATAAATATTACACATTCAACCAGCCAATCAAAAGTTAAATAAAAACAAAAATTCATACAATATAACTTCATAACCTCTATACAAAAAAATTGTTCTCTATACTCTTGTCTCGAAAGAATTGACTGTTTTCTCAAACTTATCGCCTTTCAATATCTTGGGGATTCTCGAAATTGAATGTGTTTTTCGTTTGGGACACGGTTTACTTCTCACATAATATAAGGTATAATAGGCCAATTAAAATCATAAGTAATTGATCATAAATAATCTAAAATTGTATGACGGATTAACTTAATGTAACCAATATTGTCTATTAAAGTATCCTTTGAGGTACATTTCTACCATCACTTTTATGTTTGTTACATTATGCGTAGTGAATCTTATTCTCCTAGATTATACTATTGTTGTTTCCAAAATGTTAATTAGATCTTAAATTATTATTTTTAGAAAAAAGCTTTAGAAAGCATCAACACCAAGTTGGCTCTTGTCATGAAGTCTGGAAAATGTGTCCTTGGCCTGAAGCAATCGTTGAAAACCCTAAGACAAGGAAAATCTAAGCTGGTCATCATTGCTAACAACACATCTCCGTTAAGGTGAGACTGAGAAGTAGGAAACCCCCGTTTCTTATGGTTTTTAATTTTCAATTTCCGATTTTTGGGGTTTACCTATGGAGTAGTCTCAAGTTAGACCATGATTTTCTTTTTTTCTCTGTATTACTGGTTAGGTTATTAAATGCTTAAGTAATATAGGTGGTTGAAACCTATATAAAAAGAGGTAAACCAGGTAAAATCAATCACCTATATCATTATGTTTGAAAAAAATATATTAAATTGTTTGTTTTTTTATTTCTCAGAGTATCAGAGATTGAGTACTATGCCATGTTGTCTAAGACTGATGTTTTCCAATACTCAGGCAACAACATTGAATTAGGTACCGCATGTGGTAAATACTTCAGGGTTGCTACGTTATCAATCACCGATCCAGGTGATTCAGATATCATCAAAACTATACCTACTGACCAAGCCAACCAATAATTGCTATGAAATTGTGTATTTTGATTTAATAAATATTATTTCTCAACATCAGCATTTGTTTATATTGTTTTAGTCATAAGAACGTGTAACGCGTATGGTTGTCTACATCTTAGAAGCATACACATTACAGTCGGGAGAATTAATTTTGTGTTGTTATATGAAATATTTAGGTCATAATGAATATATCTCACCATTATTTGTTGTCTTCGTCTTGCAATTGTATTTGACAAATTTATGTTAGGTTATGTTACAGTTTTCATTTAGTTTTTTAGTTTTAATATTAAATTATTAATGAGATATTACCTATTATCATTGATTATATCTATTCTATTATTAAATGTAATGGTATCAACATACATGATTTGTAGAGTAATTTTAGGTAAAAGTGAAAACAAGTAAGTATAAAGAAAATTTAAATCATGATTTAGTTGGTAAAATTCTGAACGTTTTATGCAAGTAATATTCTGTATCAAACAATTTAGAAACAATTTAAATAACTGCACACCCCCGAAGCCGGTTTATTCAGCTAGTTTTCTTCAAGTGTATAACTTTAAAAATATTTTGACCAGTTTTGACTTTTTTATCACCTTTTATTTATATTCAAATGAGAATTTTTTTGTATAAATATCGAGGAACCAAAAATTGTGTTCTGTGATGTAGGAATAAACCATATTTATATTTTACATTATTTATTCATTAACCTATTTATGAAACGTACATGTATCTAAATTGGACTAGTACCTACCCTAATTACTGAATTTTATTTAATCTTTATGATTACGTGATTCGTGGAAATAATATTATTATTACGTGTTCTGTAGTGTTATGTGATGAGTGGCACACGAGTAAATACAAATTGTTGTAGTACCTACTTATTTACAATATTACCTCAAAATTGAAACGGCTAAAACTTCTAAAATAATAGTTTCGGAAAAAACGATTTTTACACCATCGTTTTAAGACATAATAAACAAGTCGTTTATAAATATTAAAATCGAAAATGGGAGAGGGGGGAGTAAAGAGTATTTTAGCATCATTAAAGGCTTAATACGCGAAGTTTGATTTAAAATCGTTTTTGATAAAAAAAATCATATATTTGTCTCCTTATTTTCTTAACGTTCATATTTAGTCATAGTTTAAATAACACTTATCTAATCTATTATTGTGTATGAACAAGTTTGAATAATTCTTCATCGATTTAATCACTATCCAAATTAATTTTATTTCTCCTAATTTAGATGATAATTAAAAATAACAAATAATTATGTACATATGTTTTTCTACAAATGATATTGCTTTATTAAACATTGTAGAATTTATTTCCTTGCACTAGTGTGTATGTTTACCACTAGAGCAAGTTATTTATTTCTATCCTGTGACTTGCAGGGATGGTACAACAAAATAATATATATAATCGGTAACTAATTGTAAATATTTATATATTACTAACAATAATTATAGTAGCATAAGAATTCAACAAGGGGTAGTCATTCAAAGAAAAAAAGGACAAAATAATAAATAACAAGGGTTAACATAAATCACCAAAACCAAACATAACGACCCCCAGAGAATAACGAAGAAAGTGAACCATAATAAGTTCGGTCATGTACAATTATTTGATGGAAGAATGAATTATATCTTTTGCCGCATTCATTACATCAAGGGCACCCTTGCTTATTAAATTCTCTGCTAACTCTGTACCCAATTTTAATGCTGTATCCAAATCTAAATAACTAATTTTTCCTGGTGTAACACCTACAAATTGTCTAGGTTGTTTGTATGGACATTTCTTTGGTGGTTCTCCATCTTCACCTCTGTACTGATCAATATGGCTCTGTATTACTTTTTTATCTGCCAACTCTGCAGAAGATGAACACTGTAATTCTTCTGCACCATCAAGACTCCACACGGCACCATCCAAAGACATAGCATTTTTTGTTAAACAAACAGTAGACCTTATACCAACAGGTGCACTACATCCTCCACCCAATCGTGTAAGGAAACCTCTTTCAGCAACAACCTAAAGACAAATACAACAATGCAATAGAGACATGTTAAATTTAAATTCAATGATATATCATTGTATATAAAAAAATAAGCTGAATAACTATTAGTATCTTTGGTATCTAGAAAAACATAGTATATACCAGTGGCAGGTACGTATACAGGAGGGTTTTGGGGGTTCGAACGCCCCCGAAAATTAATAGTTGTGTAATTTATCTATATCAATCATCAATAACTATAATAACTGGTCGGTTACAATTTATTAATGACCCTCCCCCCCACAAATATTTTTTTGTGTATGTTCCTGACCAGGAGTGGCCTTTTTCAGAACATGTGCCAACATTTTGTGATCGGTTTTGAAAAAAATTCAGGTGTCACTGTGCCAATAATATGTGCTCATATAGGAATTAGGAGGTACTTATAAACAATTTTTTAAAAAAGTTTATTAAATTATTTCTATATCCATTATGTATTTTGTTTGTCTTAATGTTTAAATGAAATAGGTAAGCAGTATTAGCTTCTTTCAATAATATTCTCTCTCAAACCCATATGGACATACAGACTCTAACTCTGGGGAAACACTAAAAAGTCTAACATACTAAAAATACAAAATTTCAAAATATCACTCTCCGTAAAATTATGAACGCCCCACCCTATGTGTCTAATCACATTCTTCATACTGACGTCTGACACCAAACTTAAAACAATTAACGTTGAAGCAAAATTCTTTTATAAAAGATTCCATTCTAAATTAAATAACCACTCTAATGAACTCATAAAAAACTTATCTACTCCTTCCATACCCGGTAATCCCCCTAGACGTCTGAAGCGTAAGTGGTGTCAAGATCTCTTAAGATAAGGTAATTTTCAGATAAAAAAAAAATAAATAAATAGAAAGTGTCATCGATGGGTGCCTTCTTTCATCAAACTTTCCATATCAATCTTGTGACTCTTATCAAATATGCCTATTGTGTCTTGTTAATACAGTTTGTGTATTGGGTTTAAAAAAAAATAAAAAATGTTTTTGATTTGAAAAAATTCACTATGGAAAATAAATTCACATATTATCTACCTATATCATGCATTTTGGCGCAAATATTGAGATCAATTGGAATGAGCTATATTTTTTTGAAGTACAAAATGTTATGTCTGGAGGCAGTGAGTTCCAAACTTTTATAATTTTGGTGACTTCATTTTTTAGAAATAATAGATTATTTTGTTTCTAAACAATTAAATCAAAATATTTTTGTTTGCCAAGAAAATTTGGCAAGTATGCCATAGGTTTGCAAGCCTCTGGTATAAACTATCAAATTAATATTCATAAATAAATACTAGTATTTATGCAGCTGGATAATTATGAACTAAAATATCTTTCAATTTTTAATAAAGTCAAATATATTACTTGTAAAACTGTTTCATAGTGATGCAATGGTTCAAGCATTTCTAAAATATAATCGTCTCCTAAACGACACTCGACTGCCAAAGCTCCTTGTCCAACAGCATAAAGCATAACATCTGAATCAATTATTTGGGACACACGTTTTTCCCATCCCATCCTTTGAATTCCAGCCAATGCTAAAATTATGCCACTATAATTTGTATCTGTGTTATTGTTAGTAGATTGACTAATGTCCAATTTCTTCAATCTTGTGTTTAAATTTCCACGTACATCGGATACTTGAAGATTAGGAAATTTTCTTTTCAACTGAGCTGTGCGTCTTAAAGAACTAGTTCCTAAAAACATAATATAAACATATAAAGCATTTATAAAAAAAAAATCATAGTAATCTTGATTAAAATACATATGTATTATGTATACATGCTTAAGGATTGGATTTATGTGTTACCAGGCGCGAAGCCAGGATTATGAAAAGGGGGGGGGGGGGGGATTGAGTATAAATTAAACCAAGTTTTTTACAGTTGTATATTATACATAATACATTTATTAGTGGAAAAAAGAGAAATCAATTTCCCAGATGCTCAAAAACTTTTTGATAAAGCCGCCTGCCTCTTTGGTCAGCATATACGTGTATTTCCTGTAGTTAGTGCATGAGCACCAGTACTTTCAGTAACAAAATCTAATACCAAATCTTGTGTGGGATAACTGGACTCATTGTAACGAGCAATAATCAGTGTGTTTTATTATTTCGATTCAAGTATTTTGAGAAATTACTTTATTTCACCTGGGGTGCTAGGATTTATCAATATTTTTTTATACTAATAAATAAAAAATATGTTTTATAATAATTAATAATTAACTAATGTACCCAAAATGATAAAACTTAAAAAATAAACAAAATTAAAACTTTAAGTCCTCAGTGTAGTAGTGTACCATTGTTTCTTTTGAAGAAATACCTGGATAAAAGTGCAGTAAGAAGTAGGTAGACTGAGTTCTTCAGCACCATTTCACTTTAACTCCTTATAATAGTAGGTATATTATAAAGGTACATTTTTCTTTGTAATTGAACATAATAAATAAATGTTTGTGCATTTTAACATATTTTACATGATTAAATTGTAAAGACAAGAATTATTTCTGTAGAATTAATAGTCAAATATTTAAACATCTGAACCTGTATTCATAAATATAATATATTTGATAATTACTCCCTTCTTCATGTTATACTAAAAAGTAGTTCATATAACTATCATACTAAAAACAACAACACTAAAATGGTCACATAAATAAACTATAAGTTGGAAAATACTAAATATTATAGATTGTACAAACATATAAAAATATATAAAATAACACGAGCGTCCCCAGGAGAGGGCAAGATAAGTCACTTGCTACACCCCCAGAATTTTCAATCTTTTTGTCCCTTGCTCAACATCTATTCAATCTATTCTACTATGTTCATTATCCATTTTAAACGACGTATGCTTTCATCTTCAGAAAATGTCTGAGCACCGCCCATGTGGAATAAGTCGATTGACTAATTATTATTTGCTCACTTAAATAAGATTAATGATTTAAGACTTCACAATAAATGTTAATTGCATTATGTTTAACCTAAAAAATAACATTCAAATTTTACAAAATAAATAAAATATAGGTAAGTACAGGTGTAAGTTCAAATATTAATCATGGCTATTTTTATTATTTAGTGGTAGGTACCAAACAAATATTTTTTAAATTAAATACTATTCAGTAGGTCTGGGATTTTACAGTGTTAAGAGTACTGACAAAATGTGCACCATAAATAAAATAAAACAAAAAAAAAATTGTATGCCGTATATGACCTTACTTTATTTTCTTGCGATAAAAATGTATACACAATAGTCAATAATTAATAAAAATAATAACTTGAATGCAATTATATATTTATATGTGGGTTTATTTTATATCTATTCACATCATTTTGTTTTTTTTTTTATAAATCATCTGAATTACAAGATTTATGAAAAATACAAAATAATTTATGCAATCCATTTAATACTTTAAATGCGTATGGGTAAAACTCTACTAAAAAATCTAAAATGCTTGAAAAATGCAATACAAAGTTTTATAATTGAATTCTTGATAAATAAAATATGTATAGCAATAAACTCCTACTTTGCTATTTTTATTTGTATTCCATAGTGACTAACAAATGCTACAGAATTCAACCCTGGCTAATAAGAAATTAAACTAAGTTTTGTTTATAAATTTAAATAAATCACATCTAAGTTAGATTTTTTTATGTGACAGCAATACATTGGCTGCCATATGCTGAACGATTGTAAACAGCTGAAGTGATTTTAGATTCCTATTAATCATAAGATTCAACTCCGCGCAAACAATAATTTTGAGGACTTTCATTTAAATTATAGCCATTTTCAATCTGTAATCAATAATCATGTACTAATCATAAACTCTAACATTAAAAATATTGTTTATGTGATCTGTTAAATAGGTAAGAAAAACATATTTTGGAGTGGCATCCACTTAATAGTTTTAATTTACTTAAATATATAATATTGTATAGTTGTACCTATAAGAAAAGAATGACCATAATATTTGACAGATTTACTATTTTTAAAAGTTTAGCTATTAGTCATTACTGGTACACAAACACAACTGACATACGCACGTAATATGTATAAGGCATAAATTGATAAGCAAAACAAAATTTAAAACCTCTGTGCTAAAAAATCTTATTTTTACAACATTCTAAAATGCAATTTACTTGCTCTGACAATGATAAGAAAAAATTGCGATAAATTATTTGTTGGCCTATGATCCACAATTTAAATACTTTTGACTGTGATTAGTCATCAGAATACAATTAAATATATTATTAACAGAAAAACGTATCTAAATTGATTACAGGTTGGGTATACAGGGAGATTCAGAAAGCATGCTCTCTAACTCATTTCTTCAATAATGGAGCTATTAAAAATTTAATTTTTGGAAATGTTTAAGTATACCTAAAGACCATAAAATTAAAAAAATAGACATAAAAATCTTAAAATGTTTTGTACTACTTAAGGATTAATCTATGGAGATACAAACATTACAAACATCTATCTCTGAAAATGTTGACATCAAAATCAAAGTTTGAATGATAAGTTTTTAAACTAAATTGTATTTTGGGGATAAAAGGTCTACAATTATGGGTTTGAAAAATGTGGGTGTAAAGCCATACATTTCAATAAGTAATAACTGAGAAATTACACATTCAAATTTTGAATTATGTGCATCAATATTTTTAGAAAAAATATCCGCTTTACTTTGTAGTTTAGAGTAGAAAAAAGGGATTCCTATTTGAGAAATAAAAATTTATTTTGCTTAAGTAATACAAACAAATATTTCAAGAATTTGTTAATAAAGGAAAAAATGTGGTTGAACATTGAGCATGTTCAGTGCATCAACCTGTATATATAATTTACATTCATTTTTTTAATCAAATATCTAGTGTACACTTTAAACATTAATACAATTTTTGTTGCTCTAAAAGTTAAATTATTAAGTATAATATTTGAACAACTGAATTTGACATAGGTACTTTATTACAAACATCACAATAATTACTAAACAAATTAAATTAAGTCATTTAATTTAGTTTGGGATATTCATAAGTCTTATCATACAAACAATTACAAACAATGATAATTTAAATGGATCATAAAATTGTATATTCATTAAATGTTAGGTACATAAAAATATAAAAGTACCTTCTCTAAGTACCTACATAATTAATATTCAAATTAGTACCTACTACCTATTGATAAAACAAATTATAAGTGTATATATTAACACACAGACTAATATAATGTATGCCAATATAAACAAACAGTATAATTTATTTAAAATGATTACCTCCATACTTTTTAGTAACGAATATTAAAGAAACCTATAGGAACTAATTTACAGAAAAGATGATAATATATTCTTAGCATATTTATTAAGCATTGATTTTCCAATAAATTAAGTATAGTATATGACATTTTTGGAGCAATATTGAAAACTTAATAGAATATAGATGTTTGCAAAAAAAAAAACATCATGGGTAGTAAAACCAATATGGCTTTTCAGCCTACATGAAATGCAACCTATAACTTATTATTTTTTTTTTGAAATATTAAATAATTTTAAGTAAATTATGTTGAATTCATTATATTTACTATTAGGCATAATGTGTGTATACTGTAAATAAGCATCATAACATATTGTACGTATTTCAAAATTACAAACATTTATTCAATTACTTACCAATGAAACTCTTTGAAGGTAATGAGTCCAGTTGATATTTTTTACAATCCTCTCGAAGTACAAGAGCATCTCTTGGATCATCTCGTTTTAAAACAGCACCAATTGTTGTTCCGATTTCCATCACAGTTGGTAAATCCTTCAATGAATGTACGATGAAATCAACAGTACCGCTAAGTAGAGCAACTTCAAGATCCTTGGTGAACAAACTTTTCTCTCCGATTTTTGGTAAAGGTTTGTCTAGAACTCGGTCACCCATTGTGGTCATGGAGACTATTTCAAATTCTATTTCTGGATGTAATTCTTTTAACTGGTCAATAACGAACTTGGTTTGGATTAATGCTAATTCACTTTTACGTGAACCTACACGAATTGTCTTGCGGTTGCTTCTGTCCATGATCAATTAATAGTTGGATGAAAATTAAGTGGATAAATTATTGTCACTGCAATAGATTTACCAAGACTAAATGTATGAATAGCAAATTCTAGACCATTATTGTGCCTGAAACATGAATTATACTAGTTGTTATAAACAAATTTACATACAATAATATCTATTGTACTTACCATTAGTCTGTTTTAATGACATTCGTTGGTGAATGGCATTACTAAGGCGAGTAAGGCCAACTAAGTGCTTATGTATTACGTAATTGAATAGCAATCTAATGGTGTATTGGTGTTTCAGTTTTTAGAAAGGAAAAGCGAAAGGGGGAATTTTTGAAAGGTGATTACTTTATCAATGCCATCGTTATCAGACAGTGTTGAAACGGCAATGCAAGAGATAACATTTTTTGTTGGCTACACTGTGTCCACATATGCTACCGTGGTTTAGTCATGTGATCAATATTTTGGAAAGTGTAAAACAATAACATAAGTCGTCAAAAAAAAAAACATTCTGCCTTAGCCTTTAGAGTTTAGGTACTATTTATTTTTTTGCATCATGAATGAAACGAGAACCATTTCGAAATTGCCGAAATTGTATTATTGAACCGCTGTTGATGCGGGCCATCAAGTAAAATCATAATTTTAAAAAATATCTGAGGTTGCAAACCAAGTGTAACAAAATGCCGTCAGAATCTAAGATTCCTGCCCAAATGGAGAAACCAAATCATTATTCGTAAGACGTGATTTTGTGCATTATTTTTTGTTAATTATTTAGCCATTCATTAGTTGTTGCACATATTATAATACAAATTTAGTAAATAGTATTGTCGAATATCATTAGACATTTTTGTATTATTATAGATATTTAAAAGAGTTTCGTGTTGAGCAGTGCCCATTATTTTTACAACATAAATGCACACAACATAGACCCTATACTTGTTTCAATTGGCATTTTATGAATCAGCGGCGACGTAGACCAGTAAGAAAAAGAGATGGTACATTTAACTATAGTGCAGATGATTATTGTACACAATATGATGAGACCACTGGAGTTTGTACTAAAGGAGACGAGTAAGCAATGACCTATTGCATGTTAATATGTATTTCCCTTTTTAACGTACTTATTATTGATATTGAATGTGCATTTTTAAAATTTAAAACATGTGTGTTTTAAAAACATCCATTTTTCATGTACAATCGCAAAGGAATGTGTTAGAAGTTCCTCCTCACAAAAATATCTAATTCTTTTTTTCTTCAATTTTGAAAATATTAAGTCATTAATTGATGAACTTCTATGTTTGAATCAAAATAAATATTTATCATACATAACTTTTAAAATTTACTTACTCAGTAGGTACTATTTAATTTATTATACAATCTACAAACCTACATGTTTATTACCAACTATGTAATTGCTGATTGTTGTTAATTAATAAATAAATATGCAGTTTATTTCATAGGTATGTCACTAAAATTGTATATAAGATAGTACTAAACAATTTATGTGATGTTTACCTACAAATTGATTTCCTTCTTTACTTTTTCTAAACCTATTTCTATAATTCCCATAATAATAATATAAATAATTACATCTTATAACAAAAATCTATTTATTCATTTTTCATAATACCTATTTAAATTGTAGATATTAAGTGTAAACACAATAAATTAATGGTTATTGCTAGTTCTTTTACTTTTTGTAATATATTTAAAAGTTAATTGTTCATTAAAGGGTTCATTAAAAGTATAAATATTACATTTTTGTATAAAATTGAGATAAACAAATGTAAAATAATCAAAGTAATGACAACACTTGATTAATACTTTTTTTGAAATTATGATTTAATCCTCTAAATATTAGTAATTTCTTTTTTAATTTAACAGTATTTAATTATAGTATCAAATTTAAGCTTAACACATTTATGTATACTTCTCTGTCTCCCCGTATTGAACAAATTAGGCTTTAAAAAACAAACATTTTTTTGTTAAACTTTCACTTGCGTACGAAACAATACTTAAAAGAGACACGGACAAAGTAAAAAAAACAAACAGTTTCATATTGTATCGTTGACTAAGTTAGTGTATTGAATAACAAGGTGCATGATCAATTGATGTTATTGATTAGCATTTATAAATTATGTTAAATGATCCTAATTAGTGTTGTACTGTGTTACTTGTTACATGTTTAAAATGTTTTATCTTTAAATTAAGTGCAAGTTTATCTCCTACTTAAACGTGAAAATTTTACCAACTTAACGTATCTTGTTTTAATTTTTTGTTAATCTACATATATTTAAATATATGAGATTTTCTTTTACTCATTATCGTTGAACTATGCTTGAGTGAACGAAGAATGAGACATAACTAGACCCCGGCTGTGTATCCTGCCTGTATTTAACACACATGTTCCATGTAGCACTTTCAAAATAGCTCACCCAATTATCAGATCTTTCAATTTTATTCATAGATAATTTTTATATTTGTAATATTTTGACATTATTAACTAAATAAAAGGTGCCAATATTTACACCGAACAGCTGGTGATACAGAAAGACGTTACCATTTGAGATATTATAAGACATGCATGTGTGTTCATGATACTGACAGTAGGGGATTTTGCACAAAAAATGGGCCACATTGTGCTTTTGCACATGGGAATCATGATTTAAGACCACCTGTATATGATATTAACGAACAAAAGGTATTTAATTCAATGAAGTGCTTAGTATTTTTAATAATGAATCCTATAACTTTTAATAGGTAACTGAAAATGATGATGATAATAATGTAGATTTAGATGGACCAAATGTATTAGATAAAGAAAAAAATTTAATGAATGAAGATCCTAAATGGCAGGGTAGGATTTGTATACAGTTTTATCTCAATTATTTATGTACACATTCTGTATTAATAAATATATTTTTACTTCATAGATACTAATTTTGTTTTATCAAATTATAAAACTGACCAATGTCAACGTCCTCCTCGACTTTGTCGACAAGGATATGCATGTCCTCAATATCATAATAGCAGAGATAAGAGAAGAAATCCAAGAAAATACAAGTACAGGCATGTTTTTATTATTTTAATAAATATTCATTGTTAGAAAATTTAACTAATAAATTAACTTAAACATTTTAGGTCTACTCCTTGTCCTAGTGTAAAACACGGAGATGAATGGGGGGAACCAAGTAATTGCGAAAGTGGTGACTCTTGTGCGTATTGTCATACTAGAACTGAACAACAATTTCATCCAGAAATATATAAGTCTACAAAGTGTAATGATGTACAACAAGCTGGGTATTGTCCTCGTGGAGTGTTTTGCGCTTTTGCACATGTTGATCGTACGTATTTCAGTATGACAATCGTTAAAATAAATTGACTTAATGTAATAATTAACTTTAATATTCAGAGGAAATGATTATTGCTCGTGAATCAGCTGCTGGATTAGATTCTTCAACAGATTTAGCGGATATATTATCTAATGCTGTGCCTTCAATAGGGACCGAATGTTTAAGATCTCCGGTAAAAAAAATAGATAATGACAAAGATAGTTCATCGGTTAGTAATTTTTGAATTTTAAACACTCGCTCATATTTGAACGATGTGTTATGTTTATAGAATGGAAGTGGGGATCTTTCAGAATGCACTTCAAGTATTGGCTCTCCTAATAAAGCTCCTGGTGCCCATTTGTCTAGATCTGAATTTAACGTACAACAATTTCAAATAGCTCATGAAGATACCATACAAGCTGTAATTATTTATTTTTATTATTTCATGTAACTTACTATATATTTTATACTTTTTAGCTTTTAAATTCATTTGATTCTCAATCATTGTTACCTAATGTTGAACCACAAAGAAGACATAGTTCTATATTTGGACCTGTTGTATCTAATGGTAATAGTAATTCATCATATATGAATCATTTTTCTTCTTATCAGCCAACAACTACAATGAATGGTTTGTTTTTAATTTTTATTTGATTGAAACATATTTTAATAATTAAATGTTCACAAATGCATTATTTATTATTTTAGGCAATTTAGATGATTTAGTCATGGAAGATAATTTAAATTTCTCTGTTGATCGAGAAAATGAATCTCCAATATTAAATAATCCTTTATCATCAAGTTTACAAGCCTCTGGTAATTTTAATTTATTATATGTTTTCTAACTTTTATAATTTGTATAATTTTTTTCTTATATATGTATTTTCTAGATATTTTAGGAAGTTCAGCTCCAGTTAATATTCCTCTTACACGCCATAATAGTATTGGTCATTTTTCACCAACAATAGCTTCTCCATTAAAACATATGCAAAATAATATGATACAAAAATCTAGGTATAACCAACAAGATGGTTTAGGCCATTTAAATATTGTCACTGGCAACAATTATGGCTCAACTGGTTTGTTTGGTATTGGTTCTCCGGGGACCGCAAACACATTTCCAATTAGTCCTTCAAATTCAAATGAAGTAATGATATTTTTTGTTGTATTAACCTATTAGTATAAGTATTTGTGTGTGTTGAATGTCCCACATCATTTTTCATTTAGTTCTATATTTTAATATACATATGTTTGAATGTTTATGTTGACTATTATCAGACATTTTTCGGATATAACGTATTGTTTTTGAATGAGTAATTGATCAGAAATAATTAAACACATTTTACAAGGAGAACATTTATTTGATAAAGTTGTAATATTATATTACCATGATAATACTTTGGTCTAAAAAAAAATGGTTTTTTAATATTAAGATTTAATTACTTTAAGTATTTTAACTTGATAATATTGATGTAAATATAATAGTTTTTTTTCTTTGGTTTTCATGTTATTTAAAATAAAACTGTTAAATTAAATTTAAGTATAAATTGAACTTCAATCTATTATCCATACATGTATTCTCTTACAATGTAAGTTGTAAAAGACAGAAATAAACTGTTTATAATCACACAATATTCTTAAAAAGTGAATTTACTAACATTTTGTTATTTTAAGGTTCAAAGATTGCAAGAAGAATTATTAAACTGTAGATCAAAATTAGTGTCTTGGGAATCTGAACGAATGTCACAAGTTAGATGCACTTATGAAGCATGGCAAAGAGAGACTGAAGATTCAAATAATAAATTAAAAATTGCTGAACAACAAAGAGATGAAGTGAATATAATTAAGTAAAAAAATTATTTTAGGGTATTAACTATAATTTTTGTAAGGCTATCAATCAAGCAAAATCATTACAACAAGAAGTAGATTTATTACAAGGTTCACCTTATCTTCACGGACTACGTAGGGTCTCAGAAATTAGAAATTT